ATTTGGTGATGATTGCCCAGAGCTCTGTCTTGTGCTTCTGTAAGGAAAAACAATGGTGGATCTTCCTTCCTTTGCTCTCCCTGTCCCTTCTCCATTTCCTGGAGAGAGAGTGGTCTGGCTCTGTATGCCAGCCTGGCCTGTAATTCTTTTCATTTAAGTTTATTTATTTTATTTTTACTTGATGTATATGGGTGTTTTGCCTGCATGATGTTTGTGCCCTATGCGTGTGCCTGATACTTTCAGAGGCCAGAAGAGCATGGTGGATCCTGGAATTAGAGTTATAGATGGTTGTTAGCCACCACGTGGGACTAAACCCAGGTCCTCTGCAAGAGCAGCCAGTGCTCTTAACTGCTGAACCAGCTCTCCAGGCTCTGGCCTATAATTCTTAATCTTCCTGATTTAATATTTTTTGAGTACTGTGATTACAGGTGGGTGCCACTACACACTGCTCTGGATTTTCATTTATTTTCTTTCCTCATACTTTTCTCTAAATTCCAGGGTAGTTAATTGTAGTGGGAGAGGGCTATGTGGGTGTAGGGTTGGGAAGAAAGGATAGGATTATGGTACAGAGCAGTGGATAAAGGTCATTTTGTATGTTATGCTTTAGCTACTACTTTGACATTGCTTTCTTCCTGCAAGTTCAGTGAAACATTGGCTCTAGAACCAAATCTCCTTGTAGTGGTATGGAGATCTCTTACTTGCAATGTGTATGCTCATTTACCCTTTGAAGATTCACACCACACACACACACACACACACACACACACACACACACACACACACACACTCACACACATACACACACACACACACACACCAAAAGCAGCACAGGGACAGACTCACAGAACCCAGTGAGGAAAGAATGACAGGGCAGTCTTGGCTCACTGAGTCTCAGACTTGGTGTTTCATTAGCCTCACAAGTTTGAGTGCCTGCCAAAATTACCAAGGGAATTAAGTCATCAAGAGGCAGAGGAGGGAGTCCCAAGGAAAGTCACTTTTCTGTCTTCGCTCTGAGATTCATTTTAACCAATGAAAGAATCTGGTCCAGTGAGATTTAGTTCACGTTTGCAAGTGGTGTTAAGCTCGGAATCATTTTGTCTGTGAAGACACAGAAAGAATAATTAAACAGGAGGGGAAATTGTGTTTTGATTGTATAGTGTTCATTGCATAATGGTTTACAGATATCCCTTGTGTGGCAGTATTTCCTGAGTCCCAGTCAGTTATAGGAGCTACATGGTTATTGTTTATGGTACTGAAATAGATCTTCTGCTGTGAGTCTGTAAGCATGCATTATGTCTACATAATCTGTTTGATAACACAAAAATAAAATATTGGCCTCAATTAATTTTCATATGAGATTTATTTTATTTAAAATAGATGATGTCAGGAAGATATTAATGTATCTGAGTATAGCTGAAAGGAATGTTAACATTTTAACAAAATCAGCCTTGGTTATGATTAATATTTTAATATATATATATATATATATATATATATACTATTTTGAGTGGATAAAATATCAACATGGTTCAGAAATAAATAAATGTATCAAAATTAAACAAGGTAAACTCTCTCTCACTTTTGTCTCTTTTGTCCATTTTCCATATCTCTCCCTCCCCAGTAGGCAGTCATTCATGTCTTTGGGAAGATTGTGTGTGTGTGTGTGTGTGTGTGTGTGTGTGTGTGTGTGTGTGTGTGACACAGAGGACACTATGTTTTGCATTCTGGTTACTAGTGCAGCATTTTATTTTAATAATGTAACACATTGGACAGAATGTCATCACACCAGATCCAGTGTCTTAATAGAATTATGTTAATGTGGGTTTTCTTGTTTTATAGAAAGGATTCATTTTCAGGAAAGTGGTCTAGTTTAATTCTTTCCTGTTAGTAACTTGTAGATGTGGCTAAAGACTTTTGGCCTGGTTATTTTACCATCTCTAAGACACTAGCTCTGGACTTGGTTACAATCTTGATAGGAAATACCATTCCTGGTGGTTCAAATTATTTTTAATTTGCTTCTTGCTTTCTTTCTAGTGAAGAGGACTATTCTAGAAAGCACAAGAATTACTTCAAGATGTTTGCAAATACCATTTTCAGAATGCATAGCAATTCCTCTCTAATTCTGTTGTACCTCCTGGTGTGGTGGTTTAATTCAGCTGAGAATTTTCCTGTTATATTCCTTTGTACTGTAGGCAATACAAAGAAACAAATTTCTAAGAAAAAAACTTCAGATAAAAAAGGGCGGCATCAGAGGGAGTGTCCCCAGCATTCTCCTCTTGAAGATGTTAAACAGCGAAAAGTGTTAGATCTCAGACGATGGTATGTGGCCATCCCAGTTTTTACTTTCTATTCTTAAAAATATATAATTTGACATTAATTTTGCCCGGTATAAGTTAATAAATTCTATTTATTATGAACACCTTTAGTTCTAAGATTGTATCTAAATACTTTAAGTATATCTCAGATTTTGGAAGTAGACTAATTGAGCTGGGCCAGTATTTTCTAGACTCACCTGGCCATCAGTCTCATTTTGTGAATCCTCCTAATGGTAAGCTACTTTGGATGATACTTAAATTCTGATGTAGTTGTTTGCCTGGTTGTTCTTTGTTGAAGAATTTTCAAGGAAGTGACTGATACCATATTTTACATCCAATTATTTAAGTATGCATTTCTAAAAATGGCTTTTTAACTGCCACACCTAATAAAATTATCAGTATTTCTTTTGTGTATAAATTCCAGACTAAATTAACATTTTCTAGAGTGTTCTAAAAGTTACCCATATATGTGCTTGCTTGTCATGGCCCATTAGTCTCAATTTAGACTATCTTTCTTCTTTTTTCTCTGTCTCTGTCTGGGGGATTTTATGTTTTCCTTTTAAATCCTGTGACAGTTCTGCTCTGGGGCTCCCTGCCCATGGGTTCATGTGTACATAGTGGGTGATAAAGGAATGTTCTTTGGTCTGAGTAGAAGAATCTCTGAACCTCTTGACACAATGAGACAGTGATTTGCTTTCTTTCTCCAGTATTTCAGAAGTTACAAATGATCCTGTACCTACGCCAGCTGGGCATTCACATAGTAATCTGAGTAGTTGGTATCAGAATTTGCATACCAATAATTCCTTTCTTGGTTTAAATAAGATGTGCTTTAGTAGGTTGCTAGCCATAATGTAGTTCTTCTTGATAAAATAGATGATTTTTACTGTCATGTATTCTTTGTGTTTAATAAGTAGGAAATATTTTAAATGAATAATGATTTTACACTGCATTAAAATTTGCCTTATGGTCACATTTTAAATCACTCATAAGATGTATACTTTTGTTTTGCATGTTTTGTATTCATGCAAGTGAAGAAACTGTTTAATTTCTTAGGTACTGCATAAGCCGGCCACAATACAAGACTTCATGTGGCATCTCCTCATTAATTTCTTGTTGGAATTTCTTATATAGCACAATGGGAGCTGGAAAGTAAGTATGCCAGGTTATTGCTATCACCAAACTCCATCTTTGAAAGTAGTTTGAAGGAAACCTGGTGTGGTAGCACATGCCTTTAATCCCAGCACTTGGGAGGCAGAGGCAGGCAGATCTCTGTGAGTTTGAGGCTGGGCTGGTCTACACAGTGAGTTCTAGGATAGCCAGGGCTACATAGACCCTGCCTCAAGAAGAAAAGAAAAAAAATTTTTTTTTTAATATATAATGGAAGACTTTGAGAGTAGATTTTTCACAAACTGAGAAAAATGTACATATTGCTATAAGCCTTTCATCTTAAAATATTTGCATGTATTTTTAGTAAAATAAAAAATGAAAAATATTGCTAAAACTCTTTGCTAGCTAAACCTGTATATTAACACTGAGGCAGATTGTATTTGCGTATGACTGGAACAATGAAATGAAAGGAAATATTTCTTTTGTAGTCTCCCACCTATTACCCAAGAAGATGCATTACATATTTTGGGCTTCCAACCCCCATTTGAAGATATTAGGTTTGGCCCTTTCACTGGAAATACAACACTCATGAGGTATGGATCTGCCCCTTAGGGACAACAACTTATTTCTAATTTTATGAACTGATAATGCTGTAGTGTATGTGGACAGTAAAAGATACTTTGGTACTGGGTCCCAGGCTCCCTTAGATATGCCATGTGTGTGCTGTGCTTGGGTTTCTGTACAATTAGAACAGTGCCCTTCCTTGTTATGAAACTATTGCTATGAGTAAATCATTTTCTTATTTTCAGATGGTTTAGACAAATTAATGACCACTTCCATGTAAAAGGATGTTCTTATGTTCTATATAAGCCCCATGGGAAGAATAAAACAGCTGGAGAAACTGGTAGGTAAAAATGAACACACACACACACACACACACACACACACACACACACACACACACAAGTCCAAGCTTTCAGATTGAGTACATCTCAGAAATTGGCTATATTGTTTCCTAGGACATCAAGTAAAATCTCAACAGTCTGATGTTTTTATACCTCTTTATCTAAGAGGAAAATCATGGTAGTAATATGTAGGGCACTTTAGAACTTTAAGGCATGTTGTAAACACTGCTCTTGACACATTGCATGTATTGTTTAGGACATTGTTCTGTATGTGTGTGCTTGACAGTAAAACTTCTAAGATAAAGCATGGAATTTGCAGTTCATTTTAAAACAGTGAAAGCATTTGAGGACTTTTGATGCTGGACTGGCATCAAATGATAATACAAAACTATAGGGTAACAAACTGTGAAGTGACAACACTATTGTAGAACAGTCTTGGTTTTAACAGACATGTTAATGAAGTTGATCTTAATGATTATTTATTGTATAGTAGTTGAATTATTTGTATTGTTTAATGATTTTGACTTTTCAATTGTCATAATAAACTGAATTTTGTGGAGCAGACAACTGTAAGGTACTGTTAAAGAAGAAACTTTTCTGACCCTCTTTGAAATTGGAGAATTTATTCAAGATTGTTGCAATGGGGTATTGTGATAAGGATTAAAGAATCTCCTCAACTTCAAAGATTTATTCCACTCTACAAATAAAAGACTGGGGATATGTTAAAGGAAATTTTAACCGAAGTTAAAGAAATCAGAGGGACCAAGTGCCAGGCATCCTAACATATTCATCAGGAAACTGGACAAGAACATTCATATCCATCCAGTCATTGTACAAATAATTCATGAAGAACTAGAGGAACTACGTCATTGGAAAAACAAAAACAACAAAAAACCCACCACCCACTGCCTGGCAAGATGCAGTCATTTTCCAATTGTGCTCAGTTGAAACCTGAGGATTCTGTGGGAGAGCCTTGGCAGGAAAGGGAGAGGGTGCAGCAGAATTCCTCATGCCCTGTTTTGGCCACAGCAGCTCTGCTTTAAGAATAAGTTTGCTGATCTTGAAATCATTAGAAGAATGTTATATACCTTGGAGAAAGAAGAAAAACATCCTATTATTAGAAATCATGTGTATAGATGCTATATGTCATATTTAATAACCCTACAAACATTATTCCACAGAAGAAAACCCACCTTATGGCTTCTGGAAAGCTAGGACATGGTAAGAGTGTTTACAGCAGACAAAATGATGTGAGTGCCAAGGAGAGCAACCTTTCTTATCCATCTCCTCTGACCGTGGAATCCCGGATATAATCCGGAGCATTAAAGTAGTTACATCAACACTAATGAAGTTTTGTATTACATTTATAATGAAAGTTCTTTTCTTTCTTTTTTTTTTTTTTCCCTTGTTCTGTTTTGTTTGAGACAGGGTTTCTCTGTGTAGCTGTGGCTGTCCTGGAACTTGCTTTGTAGATCAGGCTAGCCTTGAACTCACAGAAATTTACCTGCCTCTGTCCCCTGAGTGCTGAGATTAAAGGCACATGCCACCACTGCTCTTTTATTGAATATGTCTGGGCTTTCAGGCATATTGGCTCAATGTCTGTTGTCCCAGTACTCAGGAGGTTCTGAGGCAACAGGATTACTCTGCATACAAGGCCAGCCTGGGGCTTCGTGTTTCAGGCTAACCTGAATTACAAAGCAAGACCCTGACTATGACCATACCTCCCTGGATGAGCCTGCTCTTGTCTCATCTTAGAAGTTAAGCACTGTCTGGCCTGGTTAGTACTTGGGACACAGAGTGAGACTCTGTCTCAAGAAATACAGCAAATTATCAGAGCCTACACTACTCAGCGGTAGAGAGCTTGCCTGTCATGTCCAAAGGCTTCAAGTTCAAGTCTCATTGTAAAACAATAGTTTCAGTTATCCGAGAAAGCTTCTCATTGTACATTTTTACAATTTAAAAACATTTCAGTTTTTCTAAAGCAATGGCAATAATAGACATCTTTTACAATGCTTGAGTATATGAAGAGTAAAGTTATACATTTTATCTTAATTCACTATCTGGAAGCTATGTACAATCATGTTTGTTTATGGAAACAAAATGAAAGACTTCACTGAATTTATTTTTTAAAATTCTTCATCTAAACTACCCATGGGTCAGTTTTTAAAGTGTGATCGAATACAACTCAAACCTATAGAATGACTAATTATTATTAGTCTTTGTGAAGTAGGAATTTTAGTAGAGAGGACTCCCTGTCTGTGCTGATCTGCCAGGAAGCGAAAGTCTATGTGGCATGCCTTGATGGAACTTCAGAATAGAAGCCAGAAATGTTAGCATGTACATAGGCAGAACCCCCCACCCCCACCCCACCCCTGCCCTGGCCCATGTGAGGCAGGCAGGGAGCTCCTGCAGATACTGACTGGCAGTTCTTGGTGGTCAGCAGCTATTCAGTGCCCAGAAAGTCCATCACTGTGAGCATACTATGCAGGCTTTCAGCTTGCTCTTTTTAGAGTTTCTAGTTTTAATGAGCTATTTGTTAATGAATAATTTAATTTCTTCCAGGAATGCAAGTTAATGAAACCCCAGTTAATGGCTTTGAGTACTGAGTGCTGATAAAAATTTGTTTCTTATACTAATACTTTTGAAATCACTAGACAACTATTACAGTGATGGGCAACAGATCAGGAGAAAGAGTTGTCTTGAAACTTTAGCCTGACTGCAAAGCTGATGCCTTTGATCTGTGTGATGTATGTAGAAAGACAATTGTCTTAGTGAGGGTGTCTATTGCTCTGATGAAAACCATGACCAGAGCAACTTGGGGAGTATTTGGCTGGTGTGTCTGAATCACAGTCCATTGAGGGAAGCCAAGGCAGGAACTCAAAAAGGGCAGGAACCTGGAGGTAGATGCTGATGTATAGGCCATGGAAGAATGCTGCTTACTGGCCTGCTCCTAATGTTCAGACTACCTTTTAATAGAACCCAGAACTACCAGCCCAAACATAGCACTACCCACAATAGGCTGACCCCTCCCACATCAATCACTAATTTAAAAAAATATACTCTACCTGCTTGCCTACAGCCAAAATTTATGGAGGCATTTCCTAAATCAAAGTTCCCTCCACTTGGATGACTATAGCTGTGTCAAATTGACATGAAACTAGCCAACACAATGATAATGTGTGTTTTTGTGTGGCAGGTATGAGTGTTACTGTGTGGCAGGTGTGTATATGTATTTTGTGTGTGTGTGTGTGTGTGTGTGTGTGTGTGTGTGTGTATGTGTGCTTGCACACCATTATTGTAGCTTGTTTTTACTTCGAGTTTGTATTTATTTATATGTATTAGTAAGTTTTAAGTTGGGATATATACTACATCTAGACATTAGGATGTCTATAATTTAATCTAATTTCAAGTTTCTTTTGTAAATCTTTTGTAGACTTAGTTTATATGTGTAGCGTTTATAGACAGATGTGCTTTGTGTAGGCATGCTGATTCAGAAGCTTGTAGTGGCAGATGTCCATCACCAGAAAAGTTGAGACCATGATTGTGGGTTTTACTCACTCATTGAATTTCTTAGACAACTTGGTGTATTCTTAGAAAGTTCTGGTAAGCAAGGACATGTTTCATTTGTTTTGCTACTGAGTTTATCTAAAACTAAAAGTAAATTCATTTATATTTTTACCCACATTGGTAGTTTCTCATCCCCTTACTGAAACTCAGAATGTCAGTGTGTTCAAAACTGTGTATTAACTAGTCCTCTGTGTAAAATACAGATATTGCTTTATGGCCCTCAGTTTGCCTGGTTTTGTCTTTGTAGCTCCAGGGGCCTTGTCAAAGTTGACCCGAGGATTGAAAGATGAATCACTGGCTTATATCTATCATTGCCAAAATCATTATTTTTGTCCAATTGGCTTTGAAGCAACCCCTGTTAAAGCTAGTAAGGCATTCAGGTAAGCATTTCTATACTTAATAAGGGCACTTAACTAGGAAAATGTGTTGTACAAGGTGTTTTCAGGAATAAAAAAGATTTGAGTCTCTTAGAAACTGGGAATTTGGTAGTATGTTTTGTTCACACCGAGTGTACATATGTTTTACAGGACTGAACGCACTTAGAAGCTGTTGCTCAGATACTATAAGAGAAAGCCATCTGAAGTACCACTTTTATGACTATATACAGAGGTGCAGGGGCATTCATATGCTTTCCCCTGTTACAGGATATTCAATCACACTGTGAATCCCAAGGTTGTGTTATTTACCAGAAAAATCTGTTTCTAGTTGTGGTGTGGCTCAGCCCTAGCACACACTTTTAATCCAAGAGCTTTCTGATTAAATAAAAACAACATTTCATAGGTGAAGAGGCGGAACAAGTAACCAGTTGACAGGATGTAAACCATAGAGAGTAAGGACTCAGGAGGATGGACTGGCACACAGGAAGTAGAAGGAAGGGACATTGAGTTGGAGATTTGTTGGAGAGGAGAGAGGAGAGACTTCTGGAACAATGCATCAGGAGGAAGGTCAGCTGAGTGCTTTCTCTGCCTCTCTGAGCTGGCAGGCTTTGACCCCAGCATCTGGCTCCCCAGTCTTTATTGAAAAAAAATCGAATAATTGAGATTTTGTTAAAAACAACAATCCCCAGTATCCTCGTCATTGTCCTACATGCCATATGCGAAGAGTGCACAACTGAGTACATTAAAAAGCACCTTCAGGGTTTGTCTCTTTTATCACAAGGAAGCTTAGGACCAGTTTCATATCTAAACTTCATGGTTATATTTGCCTCTCCCTTTTCTTAATCTGGTTTCTGTTTCATGAACAACATGTTTTCACACACACACACACACAAACTTGTCTCTTTGAAGGAGATATAGTCTAAACAAGGGTGCTGAGTTTGAATGTTACTCTTTCTTCTTAGCAAGTTCCTTCATGAGGGACCGACCAGAAAGCAGAGGTTATGGGTAAGAACAGGTGAAAATGGAAGCCATGTATGACTGTCTCGCCGCACTGATTCACACTTGGCTTTGTGGGCTTGCTGATTGAGGAGGAGGAAGAGATGAGGTGAACCTTGGACGTTACCTCTTCAGTGAGGGGCCAGAGTCTGACTAGAGAACATGGCTTGGTCTTTAGGATAGGAGGGGTTTTTGTTCTAGAGGCCATGGGTCCCTAATGTCCCACTCAAAGGTCCTTGGATGTGGTGAATCAGGGAACCTGAGCCAAGTGAGCAGCTTGGCTGTTGCACTTCTTTCATGATTCCAGCCTATGCCTTTACCTTCCTTCAGGCACTTGCCAAATGTAAAATAGGCTTTGACTTTTACTGATTTGTTCTGTTAATAACTGGAGTTCTGTGGAGTGGTGGTGGCACACGCCTTTAATCCCAGCACTGGGGAGGCAGAGCCAGGCAGATCTCTGTGAGTTGGAGGCCAGCCTGGTCTACAGAGGGAGATCCAGGACAGGCACCAAAACTACACAGAGAAATTCTGTCTTGAAAAAAAAAATAGCTGGAGTTCTTCATAAGTCAATGCTTGTGCCTATGAACCACATTAACTTTTGTCTTAAAAATTATGCAAATTTCCAGGCTCCTTTTCAAACCTGAATTAGAATTTCCAGGGGTGGGACTGGAACATTGTTCAAAATCATCAGCTTCTACCTCCAGGCCATGATCACTTTAGGACTATATTTTTAGGATGCTGCTACAAACTTAGATGCATCCTTAAAAAAGGAGTAGCTAAAGAGAGTAGCTTAGGATGTTCTTCCTTTCTGGGCCAAGGGGGTAATATGCTAAAACACTTTTAACCCTTGATTTTGAATATGGAAGTAACTAAGGCTTAAATCTAATTCAAGGATTTCTTGAATGGCCCAAACCAAAATGCTGGTATTCATTCTAAAATAACAAAAGCCATTTTTGAGTTTTAATGTTTTGGGGTTTTTGTTTGTTTGTTTTTTACCAATACATAATTGGATCAGCATACTTTGGGGAGCGAATGCTGTTTATCAAGCTGACTGTGAATGTATTTTCTGTTTAGCAGGGGTCCTCTCTCACCACAGGAAGTAGAATATTGGATTTTAATTGGAGAGTCAAGTAGAAAACATCCTGCCATTCACTGTAAAAGGTATGTTTTAGTAGCTTTTTTTTCCTTCACTGAAAACACAGATCGAAATTGTGTATGTAGATACATGTGCACACCTGTGTGGTCATTAGCCAGTCACAGTGCAACCCTGCCACAAAAATTTCTGCTATGCTTTATTTCTCTTTAGCTCCACAGCCAGCCAGTTCTGCTTCCCATCACCACAGATGTACTTTTCTTGTTTGGGAATTTTATGCAAATGAAATTCTATCCTTTTTTTGTCTTGCTTTTGCATTTAAGTAACATATTAAGAATTTTTTTCTAACTGGCCATGATAGTGCATTCCTTTAATCCTAGCAGAAGCAAAGCCAACCTGGTCTACAGAGCGAGTTCTAGGATAGCCAGAGCTACACAGAGAAACTCTGTCTTGAACAACAACATTAAAAATTTTTCTCTAAAAAATTTAGAATTGGGCCAGGGGGTGGTGGTGGCGCACGCCTTTAATCCCAGCACTCGGGAGGCAGAGCCAGGCAGATCTCCACGAGTTCGAGGCCAGCCTGGGCTACAGAGTGAGTTCCAGGAAAGGCACAAGGCTACACAGAGAAACCCTGTCTTGAAAAACCAAAACAAAAAAAAAAAAAAATTAGGCCGGGCGGTGGTGGCGCACGCCTTTAATCCCAGCACTCGGGAGGCAGAGGCAGGCGGATCTCTGTGAGTTCGAGGCCAGCCTGGGCTACCAAGTGAGTTCCAGGAAAAGGCGCAAAGCTACACAGAGAAACTCTGTCTCGAAAAACCAAAAAAAAAAAAAAAAAATTAGAATTGGATCATTTCTGGTAAAAATCCTGATGCATATTTGATAAAATAAAATCTTTAGGACTGGTGGGTATAGGTGCTTGCATGCAGACCTGATGATCTGAGTTTGATCCCTGGAATCCACAGGGTGGAAGGAGAGAACCAACTACTGATAGTCATTTTCCAAACTCCATACATCCACTAGGGCATGTATATGCCATGTGCCTGCCCACCTTGCCCCTCCCCTTCCCTCTCTCTTTTTTCTTCCTACGATGCCCTCTACACACAGACTGACAGAATCTCTAGAATTCATGGTTTAATTTAGGGAGATTTGACATCATAATGGCATGGAATCTTACAAACTAACATCAAGGACTGTATCACTACATAATCAGAACTTTAATTTCCTTTAGCAGTGGTTTTGATTTTTCAATATAAACTCACACATGTCCTTTAAGTTGTCCTTCCTATTGTAAATTGATTTAAAATTTTCATTTTTTAAGTTATTGATGGTCATATTAAAAAAACCCTGATTTTCCTATTTAGTCCTTGATTTTCACGTCTTTAACAAATTCACTCATTATTTGTATGACTTTCTTTGATTTTTCTCTACAACCATTTTGTATTTTAGTAGAGACATGTTATTTTTTAATTCTTTCAGAAATTTAGCTAGACACATAGTGGCACATTGGTAAATGAGGCAAAAGGATCGTGTGAATCAAAGGGTTCAAGGCCAGCTTATACAACATATCCCATCCCATGTCCTACCATAAGAAAATAAATTGACTTTATTATAAAAGAAAGTGTGGCATGCCACTGCTTTAGCCTACAAGGTATTATCTGGTATGTTGACATATAAGAATAGAAACCAATTATAAACTGAGAACATTGACAGGAATTGGATAACCACAACTGGCACACAAAAAAAGAAGCTTTTAAAGGCTAGTGGTGGAACAATGCTGACCTAAGAGAATAATCACCAATTACTGCTGTGGTATATTATGGTAACTTGCTCTTGGAAAAAGCTTTATTCCAATGGTACTTTGGGCCTAAAGAAAACTGTTCCTTTTCTTACTATAGATGGGCAGATATTGTCACTGATCTAAACACTCAAAATCCAGAATTCTTAGATATCCGACATCTAGAGAGAGGGCTGCAGTTCCGGAAAACAAAAAAGGTAAGAACACCACTACATTGGAAGCCACTTCCCAAATGACCAAAATGCAGTATTTTATTAATACTCTTAAAGTGGTAAATAATAGAAACCAAGTTCAAACTATGTGAATTAGTTTGAAAAGTAAGACTTATTTTAAGGACACAGGCCCAGGAGGACAGTCATGGGGAAATGACACCTAGTTCTGTAGTAATGGTAGGAGCCAAGTGGCTCAGAATATCTATCAATCATTCTTATGTAGGCTATGCTGTGCTCACAATGCTTTATTTGAATATACACTTCTAGCAGACTTTCAACTTATGACTTATTTTCAGGTCTAGCTTGAGACTTACCTGCCTTGGTTGAGTTTGATAGTCTTAACCCAACTTGGATAAATTATTGTCACAAGGCAGAGCCATGTGTACAAACATGACTGCAGAAAGAAGTAGGCATCCTTTTGCTATAAACCTGTTGATAAAAGAATAAATGCAGCTGGGTGTGGTGGCATATGCATGTAATCTCAGTTCTTAGATAGGAGGATAATGATTTCCACGCCAGCCTGAGCTATAGATATTATGTCTCAAAAATCTTTGTGTACATACACACATAGGTAGGGGAGGGAACAGGATGAGTTTTTAGGAGAGGAGAGGAGGGAAGGAAAGGAGAAAGACCACACATAGAGAAAAGAATAAGGCATGAATCTTAGTGTGTGAGTTAGGTGTATGAGGCCATGACTATGCTGAGTCTAGGTTGTGGAGAGGAGTGCTCTGGTCCCTAAGGGGTTTGTTATATTGTAAAGGCAGCTGTAAGGAAAAGTGAGTATGTTAGTATGCTCTTACGAGTGCAGAATAGAAATGTTTTCAGACATGTGAAAGAATAACAGCCTTACTCTAAGGGAGTCAATAAGGATCCCACAGACTTATACATATTTTCTCTTTATTGTCTTCATCTTTTTTTGTCCTCAGGTTGGAGGAAATTTGCATTGCATCATAGCATTCCAGAGACTCAGTTGGCAAAGATTTGGCTTTTGGAGCTTTCCATTTGGAACCATTAGACAAGAATCGCAGCCTCCCACACATGCCCAGGGAATTGCCAAATCTGAGAGTGAAGACAATATCTCCAAGAAGCAGCATGGACGTCTGGGAAGGTCTTTTAGTGCTAGTTTCCACCAGGACTCAGCATGGAAGAAGATGTCTAGCATCCATGAGAGAAGGAACAGTGGCTACCACAGCTACAGTGATTACAATGGCAATGACTGACCATGCCAAGAACTGAACCACTGGTATCACCCATACAGCTGTTATGTACAGGACTGCATTAAGGCAGAAGCTGGTTTTATTAAGTCTATCAATAGGAACAGATCTTGTGGTACAAAGCATAACCTGTAGTTCTCCAGTAAATAAACTTACATAGTGTTACAACAGGTGGCTTCAAATCTATAGGCAGATAAGCACAGATTACTGCCCTTTTAAAGTTAAAAGTAGATAAGCAATCTGGACAAAGGGTTTCACAAAATCCAAAAAAATCACAACTGCTTCAAAACAAAAACAGAAATGTATTTAACAGCATCAAAACTTGAACTACTAAAGCATGAAGTCATTTCTTGAAACTTGATCCCTAGTTATTTATTACAGATATTCCTAAGACCAATTTACAAGGCACTGTCTGCCCTTAAAAAATGGGGCTGTTAAGTTCTAGTTTTTGCTCACGCTAAAGGTCATTTAAAATTATCTTTCCAGTCTAATTGTTCTTTCAGTGCTAGCAGTGTCCACCTCACCTCTTAGCTTTTCTGAATAACTGTCTCAGGATCCTCAACAAAGAAACAGAAAATACTCAAGAAACTGGCTTTTCTCCAGGTGCAGACGATGTCATACACAGGTGATGTATGACATTGATGCGATACTCTTGATCTGGCACATGACTGTGAAATAGTTACAAGAAGCGTAGGTCTTGAATGATGTCTTCAGGCCTAGAACAAACATTGTTTTAGAGATATAGTAAAAGAGTACTTGGAATCCAGAGTTTCTATATCCATGTAATATGTGCAGTAAGATCTGATATTTGGTCTCTTAATGGAGTCATGTGTTAACAACAGCACTGAAGACACTCTGGCAATGTCCAGCTCACTCTGAGGACCACACTCTGTATTCTCAACTCTGAGCTGTTTCCTTTTGTGAAACATCCAAACAATTAGTTTGATTTTTTTAGTGTGTTAAATATTTCAGAAGTGTGAATTCAATACCTGAGCTTCTCTTTAGCTGCTGTCATTTTTCTTTTGCTGCCAATGTATGACTCAGATTTCTAAGATCTTGTTTTTTCATGTAATAGGCTCATTCCAGGACTCAAATCAGTAACTTGGTGACTACAAGGTGCTGAGTATGTTGGATCCATATTGCAATACACCTCAAGGGGAGATTTCAGATTTTTATTTTTCAAAAAAATTCATTTTTTTCTCTTGAATTTTATATCCATTTACCCACTCATACATGTCTAGCCTACAGAAAGGGATATATATTACAAAATGGTCATATTTCTGAAGAGATTACTTAGCTTGAAATGCAAAGGACTGAAAGATTTGTAGGTTATTGGTTTTGTTACTTCATACTGGAACTTTTAAATGTTTTCATCAAATAAAGTTTTGTTTTCTACTTTTAATCATGTGAGTGTTAATGAGTCTGTGTTTTAGTTAGGCTATATCCTTGTTTCTGTGTGAAGCATATGATAATTTGTCAGTTCCATGTAACTAGTATTATAAGAAACATCTTGCAATTTTTTTTTTTTTTCTTTTTGGTTTTTCGAGACAGGGTTTCTCTGTGTAGCTTTGCGCCTTTCCTGGAACTCACTTGGTAGTCCAGGCTGGCCTCGAACTCACAGAGATCCGCCTGGCTCTGCCTCCCGAGTGCTGGGATTAAAGGCGTGCGCCACCACCGCCCGGCACATCTTGCAATTTTTATAAGTGAAACAGTGTGGAAGGTGATGACTTCTCCATACTTGCTATTTCTCTACTTCATAATGGAATAGAAAATTTCTTACATTAGTTTTAACAAAATGAGGTTGCAATTTTTGTGGATCAAGTGTTTTCAACATAAGCTGTTTTTTTAATTAGTTCAGTTGAGTATTTCAAAGAAATGGGTTTGAAGAACCTAGAGGAAAGGATACAAATGAAAAATAAAATCTAAACCTTAGGAACAAAGTGAGAACTGGAAAACAGGAAAAGTTTATTTCTTGCACACTGATTATATGCTTTATAAAAACACCGACACATTGCCACTTAAAACTTCAGCTTACGCATTTGGAAGTTACTTAGAGCACAGTAATGTTTGGAGAGTTTTTTCAGGGTATGTAGGTAAGAGTTCCTTCATGCTTCTCCTTTCAAACTAATAATATTCCTGCCCTATCTGATTTCTTAGTCAACCCTTAGGAATCTTCATAGGTCTTCTAATGAAGGATAATGATTGGCTCTGAAATTGCTATTGTCTCACTTGTGAGATTATGTCCTCTTTGATAGTGTTTTTTTGAGAACAAATATGCTACTATGTATAGTATTTAGAATAGTGGGTTGGATGATAGGAAAGCTATATTAAGTGTTTGTTAAAATTATTATTTTGAAAATGTTTTTATTTATTTATTTATTATGTATACAGAACAGGGTGCCAGATCTCATTACAGATGGTTGTGAGCCACCATGTGGGTGCTGGGAATTGAACTCAGGACCTCTGGAAGAGCAGTCGGTGCTCTTAACCTCTAAGCCATTTCTCCAGCCCTGAAAATGTTTTAATTGAGTACTTTAGAGCCCATTAGACCTTGAAAAGAGCAAATACCTCTTATGTCAAATATACACTCCTTGGTTGCTATTCTTTCAAAAGCATTTCATATTCAAAATGTATTCCTCTGGCTTTCAAAGCATGCCCAATACTCAATTGGGCACACTGGCTCTTTGTTCTTATCCAGCTTTCAAAAATTAAAACCTAATAACTATCCCTCTATCCACTACTACACCAGTTACAGTGCTATATCCCATCACATCAAGCTGGTGTAGCAACTATAATGTTTCCCACGTTGCTTTGTTCCAGATATGTAACTTCCAAATGTGTAAGCTAAAGTTTTAAGTAGTGACCTGTCAGTGTTTTTATAAAGCATATGATCAGTATGCAAGAAATAAACTTCTCCTGTTTTCCACATTGCTTTGTTCCAGACATGGGATGAGTTCAGGCAACTGCTCCAAGATCTATTAATATTATTTAACCCAGTTTCACTCTTAGCATTTCTATTCTGCCAGTCTTCCACTTAATAAAATAGTAATAATAATAATAATACCCCCAATTTTAATGCCATCACTTATTAGGTGTTTCATATAAAATATCAGAACTACCCCCAAGAAGTTGGTGGTACTGACACGTGCTAGTTAAAAAGGAGGCTCTCACTGGTGAAGCAACTTCCCTAGGGTTATAGAGAATCTAGATTTGCTAGAATTGTCATAATAAATTACCAGAAACTGGATTTCTTAAAAACAAGTTTCTTTCCTCACAGTTCTGTAGATTAAGACAGGGTCTTGGCAAGTTTGGTTTCTTGTCTCTTAGACTTGTAGGTGTTCACCCCTTTGGTCCTCATATGGCCTTTGTTTGTGGCACTCTTGGAGTTTGTGTTCTGACTCCCTCTTATAAGGATAGCAGTCACACTGGATTAGAAGCTACTGATAGTCTCTGTGTGTGTGTCTGTAGGGAGATAGGAATCAAATCCATGGACTCAAACATGCCTGCATGTTTGTGATCTATCATTAATCATGGCTGTGTTAGACACAGGAATGGTTTTTCTAAGTTCTGGTTCCTGTACCCGTTTGGCCCCTAATGCCTCATTGTTTAAGAAAACCGCTTTCTAAAAATCACTCTGGATACAAGCACATTTTGAAGTACTTGGAATTATGTATTCAATATGTGAATTTTGAATTCAACATGAATTCTGTCCTGAATATATGGTAATCCTATGGTCCAGATAAGATTTGAACTAACATCTGCCTGACCTCTAATAGAAATATTTTTCACAGGATGCAAAATGCCCTGAAGAACATCAGACAGGAGACTCAAGAGGTCATTTAGGCAACATTTATGAACTCTGCTATGTGCTACAAGTAACAGGTGTAAAAGTTATCAAGATTGATACTGATTTCAGCAAATTTATAATCTACTGTTGGAGGTGATAAAAACTAAACAGGCAATTATATTGCCCTCAGTAGAATACAATTATACAAAATGCAAAAATCCATAACTTTACACATTTAGGAAATACTAAAAGTCCAGTGGAAAATAAGCCGAGACAAGCCAAGGAAATATGGATACTACAAACCATCTGTTTGGACATAGATATGTTTTGTTAACATATCTGATTCCTGATAAGACTTCTGCTGCAAATAGTTCTTGTAAGAAATCTGCTTCTATCTATCCCTTTTTTCTTAGACTGTGAGACCAAAATGAGCTATCTTAGAAATAAGACCAAAACGCTTTCACCCAAAAACTAAAGCCTAAGATTTCTCCTTCTAGGAATAGGCCAATAGTTACTGAAACAAGTCAGTCCAGATTCCAGATACCAGGAAGTGTAAAAGTACAGAGTCACAAGGTAGTCACGAGGAAATGCCTGCCGGACTATGGAATGTCCTCTCCCTGGTTTCTAGGGTAACTGACCACAGAAATGCCCCCACCTGAGGGCAGCCAATGAGAAATGGTGGTAGGCAACCACTCCCTTAGAAGTAAGATTAAGCCATGATTTCTAGAAAGCCCCTAGAAGCGAGCCAATCAGAATTGTACCCGTACTAGCACCCCTAAATGATGTAACCTTGTGATTTTTCCCTTTAAAAACTGAGCTTGCGGACAGGCAGGCACTTCCTCCAGCCTCCACTGCGTTGGATGCATTGGACAAAGTCCCTGCCTAGGCTTGTATATGCAGAATTAAACCTTGCTTTTGCATTCCGGCATGCTCGTCTTTGGTGGTCTCTCTGGGGGTCGCGATCTGGGCACAAGACAAGTCCTATGAAGGTTTTGAACTTGTGCTATCCCTACCTGTCTCCCAGATGTTTATGACACTGGCTATCTGTCCTTTCATACCAAGATTACTACTGAGTTTGAATGTAATTTCAATACTGTACATCAAATGTAAATAACTGTATTCTAAGTGCTAAGCACTTTGTACACATGATCTCTGATTCATAAAATCGTCCTTATAGATGACAGAACTGGCCTTACTCTGCCCAAAGTCATTTGGGGCCAAAGCTGTGGAATTAGAAGTTTCAGGTGCTGGAGGTAATTCAATGGTAAGCACTGCGTTGTACTGACACCTAGTTACTGCATGTTGTCGTGCAAATACTTACCTTTAAAAACAACAAGGAAGCCGGGCGGTGGTGGTGCACGCCTTTAATCCCAGCACTCGGGAGGCAGAGGTAGGTGGATCTCTGTGAGTTCGAGGCCAGTCTGGGCTACCAAGTGAGTTCCAGGAAAGGCGCAAAGCTACACAGAGAAACCCTGTCTCGAAAAACCAAAAAAAAAACCAAAAAAAAAACAAAAATAAACAAAAAACAAACAAACAAACAAACAAAAACCCAAGGAAACATTTATCTTTCTGTTCTTTTCTAGTGTAAGCCAATACTTAGCATCAAGTCTGCAAAGCTGGAGGGACAATGTTGAACCTGAAACTGAAAACGCACAAAGGGGATCTCACTTCACTAAGAAAGCCAACGTGCAAATATCTTTATGCCTAACAGACAAAAGAACAGAAGTACTGAATTAACACTTGGCTGTAACCCTGCACTGACATCCTTAGTGCTCTGGCGCAGGATTTATACGTCACGTATCAATGTGGTACTGCCAACTTTCGCAGTCACTTAGACGGAAGCCGAGAGGTTTCAGTTCGTGTGGTTTTACAGGTCCTCGGGAGGTAGCAAGCTCAACAGGAGAGACGTTTGCCTGCTTGTGTCGCCCGCGCCGTTGCTCACTTCTCTTAAACGTGCCAACATTTGGGCTTAAGAGTCCCTGCTCCTCCCACCTCTGCTCCGTTTAAGTTGTGCTTTTCTTCTTGAAGGCCAGGTCCTCGCCGGAAGTGCCTCTGCGCGGCGAGTTCCGGCTGGAGAGAGGTGGGCTCTCCGTGAGGAACAGCACAGTCCGCTTGCGGCTGGCGCGTCCTTGTCTAACTTGAAGCAAGGGGCCTGCGAGGCCAGCCCAGCGCGCCTGCGCCATGGGAGTCCAGGGGCTGTGGAAGCTGCTGGAGTGCTCCGGCCGCCCGGTCAGCCCCGAGTCGCTGGAGGGCAAGGTGTTGGCCGTGGGTATCCTTAACGCGGCGCGAGAGGCGGGACGGGCCTTTGCGGGATAGCTAGGCTTTCTGGGAGACCCGGAGTCGGGCGTTACTTGGGTGTCTGCCTATCCAGCTTGCAGCCCTGCTCTACTCATTTTGGGACCACTTTGTGTCTCCTGTGCTTCAATTCTCACTGCAGAGTAGGTGCACAGTTGCCTTGGAGAATAAGGGTATTTAAATGATAAAGCTGGAATAACGTTGGGCTCTATAGTGCTGTCAGTTTTAGAGGTTACTTTGTGTGGGAAGTCAGCGTGGAGAGAACAAGGTTGGGAATTCCGATCTTCCGTTTTTTGCATCGTTGACTCGTTTTTTGAAATACAAAATAAACGTGTATAGTGAACTAGTTTCCTTCAGCTCCTGTAATGGTTTTGTGTGTGTTTAGCTGGTTTTGTGTCACTGGAGTTTTGTTGTTGTTTTTTCCCACTTTGAAAATGTGATACTAGTTTTGAAGTTTTCATTTGTCTGTTCCATGACCCCCTTTACAAGTGCCTCTTTTATTTCAGAAGCTGGAGGTAAAAGAGGCACTTACACCATTTTCTTAATGATAACTGGAAAGACTTGTAAATAATTGCTGGGTACGTGTGTGCGTGCGTGCGTGTGTGTGTGTGTGTGTCTGTGTAGAGGGGGCATGCCAAGTCATTCTGTAAAGTATAGCAAAGAAGCCTTTATCTGATAAGTCAATTCTTCACTGTTTGCCCAGCTTATAATTAATGGAGAACATGTAATATTGGAAAGATAACGTTTTATGTCAAATACACCAATGACAAAAATTTAAAAAATAGTTTTACAAGTTTTTACCCAGGGTACAGTAAGTTGGGTAACCCGAAGTTCTATGTAGAGCACATATACTGTGTCGCACTCTAGTGGTTTTTCGGTATCACTGCAGTTTCAGGATTTCTGAATTATATGTGAATGAAAGGACAGTTTGCAGTGAGGAGATTCTTAAATTCTCATCAAGGGTTTCAGCTTATAGTGGTAGAGCACTTTCTTAGGATGTGTGAGGCACCAGAGTTCCATCCCCATCATTGAGAAAACATATTGCTGATAATACCGCCAAGGATTTAGGTTATTTTCTGTTCCAGCCTCTATAAAGAATTAGGAAGTTCAGCATCCTAACATTCAGGTATGTCAGACAAAAAGTAAGCTATGTAGATTACCTGAAAATGACTGAGTCCCCTTTAGGATGTGAAGTTATTTTTGTGAGGTTATTAAGCTTTTCTGAAAGAGTGGGTCATTTATCTAAAGAAAATTGAGAAAGATTCTGCATACAATCATATATGTGTCATGTCATAATCTGATTACTTCTGCAATTTTCTGTATTTCATCATGAGAATTCTAATATCTGAAATTTTGGTGTCATTGTTTTGTTTGTTCATAAAGAACTCATCCATGATTATCTCAGGTTTGTAATTTCCATACTTTTCCAAATAAATTATGTTTTGGACCACATGGATAGCTGTGTGTCTAATTTAAACAGTTTATGTCTGTGTTAAAAATTAAGAAATAACAGTTCATTTTTTTCCATTACAGACCTTATCTGTTAATGCATTACTTGTATTATGGAGCTAATACCCTCTCTGAACACATACTGATATGGATTAATTTAGTCTTTAGTCTTAGGACTAAGTCACTTCAGGACTAAGGAGAATTTCCTTTTGTTTTCAAATGTTATTGGGTCTTTAAGTTTCAACTAAAGCAAGTTTTGGCTTTGCTTCAGACTTAAAGTTCTAGCCCTTGGAGAATTTAATTTTGTTCCATGTGTGTTGAAGTTTGACAAATCAAATTGTGTAAATACTTTCAGCCTGTCTGAGTTTATGTGTTTTTTTTCACTAAGTATTTCATGTTGGGACTCTCAACCTTCCATGAGAAGTGGTAAGCCACAGCTAATTTACATATGGAAAGGAATCACCTCCATTGTGATTTAGTGTTTCAGGAATAAGAGGTTTAATCTTTTCTTAGGCTGTAGGTCCTAGACTCATAGATAGGAGAGTTAAGAGCTATTTTAACTCCAAAATTGGTTTTTCTCAATTTTAAAGTCAAAAGTGATGTGCTGTGTAGAAACTTCTTTAGCCCTGTATGGCAGTACAGCAAGCAGAAACAGATCAAGCAGAGGCAGTTCTCCAGAGTAATATAGAACATGTGGAACTCTTTAAGATGTATCTGGGACCTGATCACTTATGTCTGAGACATGCCATCCTTGTCATCTCCTTTCATGTGGGCTGTTGTAACTTAGTTAAAACTACTTTCTTTGAAGTTGATTCTCTACATGTCTCCTAAGGTCTTAAGTCAAGTTATAGAAACTGCTTAGATGTGTATATTGTACCTCATACATCACCTTCCTCCCCCATCACACCACATTATGTAGAAGTGACATTTGCCCTAGGCCATTTGTATTTGCTACTCTTTTTCTCCCCAGGTTTCTCCCTGTACCTTTTGTTCATGCCAGCCCTATTCTTGAGATGGGTCTTTTGTAACTAAAGTGCCAAATTCTCAGCCACCCTTCTCTCCTATTATTTCTTGGCACTTAATGAATGTGCCAATTATTTTATTGTCTTTTGTCCTGTTAGAATGTGTGCATCCTCAGACAAGGGAGTGTATCTGTCTTGTTCACAAAGGTATTGTTTGATTTATCTCTCTAGGGTCTTGGATATGCTTGGTACAAAGGAGCACTCTAGAATATAGAGATAAATATACTAATACCCTTTTTTGTCAACTTGGCATGTCAGTCATCTAGAGTCATCTGAGTGGAGGGAACTTCAATTGAGAAAATATCTCCATAAAATCATGCAAGACTAGCCAGTGGTGGTGGTGTACACCTTTAATTCTAGCACTTGGGACGCAGAGGCAGGCAGATGTTTTGAGTTCAAAGCCAGCCTGGACTACAGAGTGAGTTCCAGGAGAGCCAGGGCTACACAGAGAAACCCTGTCTGAACTCCCCTTCCTCCCAAAGAAAAAGATCAGACAAGACTGAAGGGCATTTTCTTAATTAGAGATTAATGGGGGAGGACCCAGCCTATTGTGGGGTAGGTACTGCCCCTGGGTTGGTGGTCTTGGGTTGCAGGTTGAGCAAGCCATGAGGAACAAGCCAGTAAGCAGACCCTTTCGTGGCCTCTGCATCAGCTCTTCCCTCCAGGTTCCTACCCTGTTTCAGTTGCTGCCCTGACTTCCCTCAGTGATGGACTGTGAAGTGGAAGCATAAGCCAAATATAGCCTTTCCTCCCCAACTTGCTTTTGGTCATAGTGTTTTATCACAGTAGTAGAAACCCAAATTAAGACAATGGCATATTGCCCTAGTACATAAATTTTATTAGTAACTTTGGTGGTAGTGAATGATAGACAATGTACATTAATTTTAAAATGTCCAATTTTTAAAAAATAATGCACACTCCAATATGTTAGACCTTATGGAGGGAGTATATTGTGAACAGAAGCAGTTTACACAAGGTTGCCCATAGGCTTGGTGTTCCCCCTACTGGATGGTATACTCCATGAGGTACAAACTTTTGCTCAATGTTAGATGCCCATATTTCTGGCATATTTATGTAATATTCTAATAATTCATCTCTTAGAGGTGTATGTCTGGAAGTGTTAATTGAGGCCAGAAAAATGTCACATAGTTTGAAACTCAGTAGGACACAGTGAGGTTGGCATGGGAGAAGTAGATATAGTTAGATGGTGGGAAGGAGCTGAGTGGTTTCTAATGTTAGGAGTGTAGTAGTCTAAAATGTGACAGAGATGGGCACAGGCCAGAACATCTATAGATTTTGAAACATCAAAAGGCTCTTGTTAAAAGATTTACTGCCAAACCTCAGTGTACTTCCAGGTATAGCAAACCTGCAGCCTACAGGCCACATCTACCTATAATAGCTGATAAGTATGGCCAAACACAAAATCTTAAAATTATTTAAAACATTTTGAAAGTGCTTTGTGTTTTTATTTATTTATTTATTGTAACTTGATTACACAGGTCTTAGACATGAACTTTGTAGATAATAACATAGGGGTGCAATATTAAAGGTTGGATGTGCCTGCAAGGTAGTACTGGTAGGGTCTCATACTGGTTGGATGAGGAGGATACAAGAACTGATACCCAGAACTCAGGCCCACATGAAACAGTGATTCACTGAGGTGGGGCTCAGTGGAGAAGGCATGGCATTTGAATTTGAATTTGAAATGACTTCAAGCAGTCAGGTAGATTTCAGCCGGGTTTTCTAGGACAGAGTGCTGCTTTAGTCTTGGAGACACATGTGCAGGGAGTAGTGGGTTGTTTGAGGTAGCCTCTGCAAGTGGTGCATATTGGAGGGAAGGAAAGATCATGGCAGAAAAGCTCTCTAATGGTGAATTACAGGAACTGGCAAAGAGCAAGAAATCCAGCAGTATGCTGGTTCATGCTTAGGAACAAATGCAAAGTACATTGAAAAAAAAAGTCATCTTTAAGAAAGGTTCAGAAAGTGAGAAAACTATAAGAAAACATAATGACTTGTTTTAGCAGAGATAGCTGTCCTTAATATGGTTGGTGTCTGGGCAGTTTTTCTGCATTTGACATACTACTTGGATTATAAAGAGAATTACACTGTATAGTTTTTATAACCTACTAACTTTCCTCAAGTAATGTTTTATAATTATTTTTAATCATTAGACATGTTTTGATCCTCTTTGTAAGAACATGCTATCCTAGGAACAGGAACTCAGCCTATTGTAATTGAGTTTTAAGCACTGACCCATGGCAAAGCTTTCAAACCTTTTTATATTTTCATTGTTATATTCAAGCATTCTTATATCTTATTGTAAATCCGTGATGATTTCTTGAGGATAAACGTGTTGCGGGATATTTGTTTGCTCTGTCCCTCCAAAACTGCCAATAAACTGAATCTTGATTCAGAGGACGGAGTCAATGCTCAGCCAACCAGAATAAACCATAAGAGTTTTTTGGCTGACTCACATGGGGAGAGAGGAACACAGGGAGAAAGGAGGAGGGGCTTAGGAATTTCGAGGACTTATTTTGGATCTTGGAAAAGCAGAAAGGAGGGTCAGATGGGCTTTTCTCCATCACTTTTTGAATCTACCAGGTTCATACCCTATTATCTGACTTCTGAGTTTTTATTTATAAGAGAATAATTTAGATACTTGTTACATAAATGTATGGAAATGGAATTCTTAAGACAATACAATTTTTAACTTTTTTTTCTATGAATTTTCAAGTTGTCCTCCTGAAACTTGGGATAGTTTGCTAACATTCTTTGTAGAACATTAGCTTTTTGTTTATTTTGTTTTGTTTTTAGACAGAACCTTACTTGTTCTGTAGTCTAGACTGACCTGTAACCCACAGTCCTCCTGAGTCGTGGGATTACAGTTGTGTGTTGCTACACTTGCTTAGCTTGTTTGTTGTAGCAGTGTTCATAACTGAAGCCAGGGCTTTGTGCATACTATGTAAGTACTCTGCTCCATCTCCAGGCTTAGTAGGAGGACTTTCTTTTCAAAAACGACATTTTCATTATAAAATCCTTTTTAAAATTTTTGTTTTTAGTTAATATTCAAAATAGTAGGTTTCTTTGACATATTCATACATGTATATCTTTGTACTTTGTTCATAATTACCCTTCCCTGTCCCTTTTCCCATTGTCTACCCATCCTTCCCTCTCATGCTTCCCTTCTGCTTCCATATCATTGCACATGCATGTGTGTGTGTGTGTGTGTGTGTGTGTGTGTGTGTGTGTGTGTGTGTATTGTGGGATGTTCTGTATGTCAAATGTATTGCTCTGATTGGTTAATAAATGAAACACTGATTGGCCAGTAGCCAGGCAGGAAGTATAGGTGGAACAAGCAGAGAAGAGAATTCTGGGAAGTGGAAGGCTGAGGAGAGAGACGCTGCCAGCCACCACGATGAGAGATGAGAAGCAGATGTTAAGATACCGGTAAGCCACAAGCCACATGGCAACTTATAGATTAATAGAAATGGGTTAATTTAAGATATAGGAATAGTTAGCAAGAAGCCTGCCATGACCATACAGTTTGTAAATAATATAAGCGTCTGTGTGTTTATTTTATAAGTGGGCTGTTGGACTCTCGGGGCTTGGCGGGTCCCAGAGAGAAAACTCCAGCTACACTCATGTGAAATGTTAAATTTGAATTGGGCATCTAAAGAAGCTGTCTTCACCATTAGACTTTGAAGGGTGGCTCTGCCTGTGATTTTAATGTTCAGTGTGTGGAAAGTAGTAAAGAGCAAAAGAAAGTCTAGCTGACTTTGGGTAGATTCCATCATGGCCAGGTCAACATCACACAAGTGGTGATGTATGTTTAATGTTCTCTGTTTGTTGGAATCATGTCTTGGATATTGAATTTTTAATTTTTTTTTGATGGGAGGGGAGGTTTCGAGACAGGGTTTCTTTCTTTTTTCTTTTTTTTAATTTTATGTGCATTGGTATTTTGCCAGTATGTATGTTGTCTGTGTGAGGGTGTCAGATCCCCAGAACTTGAGTTATAGACAGTTATGAGCTGCCATGTAGGTGCTAGGACTTGAACCCGGATCCTCTGGAAGAACAGCCAGTGCTCCTAACCGCTGATCCATCTCTCCAGCCCTGGATATTGAAATTTTAAGGATGAAATTGGAAATCCCAAACTGTTTTCCTTTACTGGCTCTCCCAGATATTAGCATTTGGCTAAACCAAGCACTTAAAGGAGTCCGAGATCGCCATGGGAATATGATAGAAAACGCTCATCTTCTCACATTGTTCCACCGGCTCTGCAAACTCTTGTTTTTTCGTATTCGCCCTATTTTTGTATTTGATGGAGATGCCCCACTGCTAAAGAAACAGACCTTGGTAAATATCATCTTGCTTTATTTTCTCTTTAGACACCATTAGCAATTTTTTGCTTCCCCTTCCTCCTTCGAAACCCTCTTATATATTCCTCCCCAATCGCCTTCAAATTCATGGCCTCCTTTTTCCCCCTAATTATTATTGTATGCATTTATGCATATCTATTCCTAACTGTAACAACCTGTTCACTCTGTATAAGGCTACCTGTTGTTTTTTGTTTGTTTGGTTTTTCGAGACAGGGGTTCTCTGTGTAGCCCTGTAGAACTCATTCTGTAGACTGGGCTGTCCTTGAACTCAGAGATCCATTTGCTTCTGCTAGGGCTTAAAAAGTGTGTGCCACCACTGCCCAGTTTGTATGTATGTTTTCTTTTCTTTTTTTTTTTTTTTTTTGATTTTTTGAGACAGGGTTTCTCTGTGTAGTTTGGTGCCTGTCCTGGATCTCGCTCTGTAGACCAGGCTGTCCTCCAACACACAGAGATCCGCCTGACTCTGCCTCCCAAGTGCTGGGATTAAAGGCATGTGCCACCACCGCCCAGCATATGTATGTTTTCAATGAGCAGTTTTGACATGTAATCAATTTAATTTCAATTGTTTTTAAAAATTTATCTTCAACAATTTTGTGTGTTTGTTTTTTTTTTTTTCTCTTTTTTTGAGACAGGGTCTCTCTATGTAGCCCCAGCTGGCCTGGAACTCCATATATATAATCAGGCTTGCCTTGAACTCACAGAGACTTGACTTTGCCTCCTGAGTGATGGGATTAAAGGTGTGCAACACTACGCCAGACTTGTAACAGTTTGTCCTTTAAAAAACTTACGAGAGTCTATTATATATGTAATGATCAAATTTGCCTATTAACTGAAACTACAATTCTTAAAATAGTTTCTTTAGAGTATCTGTTTAGGTGGTCCACAGTTTGTCTGGCTGGTCTACTATTCCTCATTGTGGAGCCCCTACTCAAGAGATTCCCTCCTTGAGAGTTCGATCGAGTGTCCTTGGTGACAGGGAAACACAACAGATAAGCAAACAAACAAACAACCTACTTTCAGAGTAACACCAACAAAACTGCACTGGTCTGGACTGTCTTCTAGAATGCCTTCTTCAAGGCAGCACTGTCTCAGCAAAATTGTCTACACAGCTTGACATTTATTAGAATATCTTTCTATATGTGCTAAGGACTTCTAACATAGTGTTGAATTTGGAGGGACAGAGGTACATTACAAATAATACATTACTTGAAATAGTATCAAATCGATTTTGTAACAGTTTGTGTAAAGTTTTAGGTTCTTGGTGGTATTGAAGTTTATTTACAAGGAACTGACAATAAGCTAATAACTTCCCAGATATGCTATATAGGTGATCTTTAAGCAAGTGCTCTGTGTGTCCTGTGCAACACAGAACCTGAAGATGCTTATTGACAGCAGTGAGGAGGAAGAACTAGAACAGCTGTTGTCCCTAAATTCAGATGAGGAAATGTTTTAGTAGACCAGCACCTGAGGTGAAATCCTACATGCTTCATTTTAACAGGCAAAAAGAAGGCAGAAGAAGGATTCTGCATCCATTGACTCTAGAAGAACCACAGAGAAGCTTCTGAAAACCTTTCTGAAGAGACAGGCTCTGCAAACTGCCTTCAGAAGGAAAAGGCAAGAGCACTGTGCTGTGGACACTCCTCCTTGTCTCTTTTAATAGGAAGAGTCAGGAGAGGTGTGAGTGGATAGAATCAGACTTGGGGGTGTGGAATTGTGGCTAATGTGAGAGAAAAGCTATCATATTGCTTCCTCTTTTAATTAACTAGTTTACTGGTTTGCTTTTTTAAAGAGGTACAGGGAATGGAACACAGGGCCTCACATGTGCTGGGCAGGTGCTCTACTGTGGGGTTCACTGCAGCCTGACTTTTTACTTTGATAGACCGCGCCCTGATTGTAGCTGAGGCTGAGGCAAAGGCTCTAAGGAGCCCTAGCGAGTTCCCCTTTCCCTCCACATGGTTCTTAGTTGTGACAACCATAGCTTTGGGGAGATGCAGGCCGGAGAAGACAGCCAGATAAAGAGGAGGCAACCACTGCCCTTGAACAGGGTTTGTGCAACCCGTGGGAGGAGGTGATTGACTAAAAATGCGTTTTGTGTCGGGCAGTGGTGGCGCACGCCTTTAATCCCAGCATGTGGGAGGCAGAGCCAGGAGGATCTCTAGGAGTTGGAGGCCAGTCTGGTCTACAGAGCAAGATCCAGGATAGCACCAAAGCTACACAGAGAAACCCTGTCTCGAAAAACCAAAAAAAAAAAAAAAAAAAAAAAAAAAATGCATTTCGTAAGATTTTGTTAAAAGCTATATGTGCTTTTCAGAAATGAAGCTCTACCCAGTCTTACTCAAGTTCAGAGAAAGGATGACATCTATGTTTTGCCACCTTTACAAGAGGAAGAAAAGCACAGGTAAATGTTCGGAGTATCACTTCAGGGGCTGGGGCGGTGGCTCAGTTAGTCAAGGGCTTGCCCCTCAAGTATGAGAACCCGAATTCTGTCTGTCACACCCACATAAAAAGCTAGGCAACTGGCAGCAAATGCCTGTCATCTCAGCATTGAGGAAATGTCGGGGCTTCCTTGACCAATAATTTATAGGGAGTTATCACATACCTGGCACTGAGAGTTTCATTTATTATCTCCATCTTCTAGGATCAGTGTATATCTATGCAGAATATCTGTGTTCAAACTCCTTTTTAAAAACTAATATATATTTAAACTAACTTACGAAGCACTGGGTTTTCATATGAATTTTTGTATATACTTTTGGTTATCCCACGCCTGTCCTGACCTCTCCCCTTACTCTACTCCTACGCATGCTTAAACCTTTAACTGTCAGTATCCCATTACTTTGTCTGCATTGTTGGCATCACTGCCTCCTCTCAGAAGTCTCAGTAGCACCCAGACTGACTTCTGTCTCATCGTTGATCTCATGCTTTTGCCTCAACTACCCACTCCCAGCACAGTCTGCTTTGTCCTCTACAATTTATTTAAGGCCAAATTCTGATATTGTTATTTTCTTTTTTACAAAACCTCATAATATATTTTTCTGCATTTTTTTAAAATGACAGATTCTCAGTATGTGTCTTAATCTGGCCTGGAACTTGCTCTGTAGTTCAGACTGACCTTGAACTTATAATCTTCCTGCTATAGCCTCATGTAGTGCTGGGATTCTAGGCCTGGCCTAGTTCGTCATTTCTTCAGGATAAACTTTCAGCCTTTTAATCACTCTTCTCCAACCTTATCCCCTGGTTTCTTCATTGTCATGGGCAGATTTTCCTTTCTTTGTTTCCAGATGACTGTAGAGCTTCATGTACCTAGAACACTTCCTGGCCTGTACTTCCTTTATATCCTGCATTTGAGTCGCGTGTGTGTGTGTGTGTGTGTGTGTGTGTGTGTGTGTGTGTGTGTATGTGTATGCAAATCCACCAATGTAATTGTAGGGGATTCTGGAAAGCTTCCATGACTGTCTGTATTAGTTCCTTTTCTATTGCTGTAATAAAACATTCTGACCAAGGCAACTGATAAAAAAAAAAAACTGTATAATTGGGCTTATGGTTCCAGAGGGTTAGAGTCTGTTGTTGCAGAGTGAAGGCATGGCAGCAGAAACATCTGAGAACTCACATCTGGAACTCACAATGTAGTAACTGACTCTCAGTATGCTGAAAGAGTAGTATTACATGGAACCCTAAGTGGACAGCGTAGAGAGTGCTAGAGATGGTGGGAGGATTTGAGCCTTCAAAGCCTGAATCTTGTGACATGCTTCCTCCCACAAGGCCACACCTCCTAATCCTTCCCAAATAGTTCCACCACCTAGGTACCAAGTGTTCAAACGTATGAGCCTGTGAGGGTTAATCTTATTCAAACCACCTTACTGTCCGAAGTTTTTTAGGTGTCTTACTCCTTAACTTACCTTTAGCAACCCTCTTTTCCTTGTGGAGGGAGTTAGGAGTTCATAGTCAATTGCTTACTTGCATGTGCCCCTCACCAGACAATGAGTTCTAGAGTCATAGCCTTCCTATCCTACTCACTATCACAGACCTTGAGCTCAAGAAGTGTGTTTTAAGTATTTGTTAAAAATCATAGATGTTGAAAGTATTTTCTTGACTGCAGTTCAGAAGAGGAAGATGAAAAGCAGTGGCAAGCAAGAATGGATCAAAAGCAAGCTTTGCAGGTACTCACATAACATGGGAATTCAGAATGTATTTCATTATTTGAAATGATGAAAATGAATAATCCTTACGCAGTAGGATGGGTTTGTGAAAGTTTCCAATAAGAAGTAAAGATAGCTGCCTCTTTTACTGTGTGTGTTTCTTATTGCATGTATGTGTACTTATATGTATATGTGTATGTATATATGTATATGTAAAATCCACACTTACCAATGCATTTGATGCACTTGTTTATTGGATTTGGCATTATGTATGTCTTTCCATCTTCCTTTTTTGGGAGGAGGTTTTTTGTTTTTTTTGTTTTTTTGAGACAGGGTTTCTCTGTGCAGCTTTGGAGCCTGTCCTGGATCTTGCTCTGTAGACCACCAGGCTGGCCTTGAACTCCCAGAGATCTGCCTGGCTCTGCCTCCCGAGTACTGGATTAAAGGCTTGTGCCACCATTGCCTGGCAGGGGGCAGGTTTTGAGACAGGGTTTCTCTATGTAGTCCTAACTGTCCTGGACCTTACTGTAGTAGACCAGGGTGGTCTTGAACTCATAGAATTCTGCCTGCCTCTGCCTCCTGAGTGCTAGGATTAAAAAAAATTGTGAACCACCATGTCCAGCTTCATTATGCATTTCTGTGTATCTAAAATAATCTGTTTTCTTTTAGAAACAACTGGCCACTCAAGAAGTAAATAGTAATATAGGCTTCTGTAGAATATAAGAACACTTTCTTGGGGCCAAGAATATAACTTGGTGATAGAGTGTTTACTTTGTATGCATAAGGCCCTTGATTCAATCCCCAGTGCCACAAATAAATACAAAAATAACAGACTTCCTTTATGTTTATAAAAAACTTAAAAATTTTTGGCATATTTTAAACCATCCCCTGAGTGTGCATATATTTGTGTATATTCATTCCTGTGCAGATGTTTTAATTATCTTTTGCAATATAAAGCAGTGGTATAAAAGTAGCCATTTTTATCATCCTCTGCCATGATTCTTGGGATTGATAAGTAAAGGGAGGTGCTTGTCTCTTGGAGACTTCCATGTAGATGCTGTCAGAATGTTGCTTGGACTGAAGTCACTTCATGGGCTCCCTCACTTGCTTGTCTGGTGATTGACTCTGGCTATTAGCTAGACTTCATTGAGGCTAGTGACTATAGTTTCCTGTAGCCTCCATGTGGCCTGTGCTATCCCTAGCACTGGGGCTGTTCCAAGGGGAAGCATCCAAAGGGAGATCCTAGGCAGAAACCATGCTGCCTTGCTTTGGAAGTTGTATAGTTTCCTTTCCACCACATTCTTGGCTACATGTTTTCAGGGCAGTGTGTGGTGGTATTTTACTTGTACTGAAATGTGATTTTAATTGTATGTTAATAAATAAAGTTGCCTGGGGGTCAGAGCTATTAGAGCCATAGCAAGTGCGTGGCGGCAGTGGCGCATGCCTTTAAGGACATGGAGGGCGGTACATTCAGGCAGTGATGAGGCAGTCACATGTTTGGGTTTACAACCAATGAGAAGGCAGAACAGCTAGAGTATATAAAGTCATACACACAGGAAGAGGCCCCTTTTTCGGAGAGCTCTCTTGGCTGAAGAGGATCCCTGAATCAGGAAGGGTGAGGCTCTTAGCTCTGACCTCTTGGCTTTCTTCTCTGAATCGGCTCTGTGTTTCTTATTTGATAAGATGGTTGGATACATCTACAGCAGTGCCTACAAGGAAAGAAATGTCAAGAAGAGAGTCAAAGACTCTGCTCACATGGTAAAGCTACCACCATGTCAGTGAGGGCTGCCTTTAAACATTGAAGTTGCCTCGGTCTTTCAAATGTTGGAATTACAGTATAAAGCACTACTCCTCACTTCTTAACAAGATGTTTTAAAAGATTTATTTACTTTTTCCTTCTTTGTTTTTTAAATGTGTATGGGTGTTTTTCCTGCATGTATATCTGCACCAGATGCATGCAGAGTCGATGGAGGTCAGAAGAGGGTGTCAGATTCCTTGGAACAGATGTTTGTGAACCATCATGTGAGGTGCTAGGAATTGAACCTAGGTACTTTGGAAGAGCAGCTATTGCTCTTAATCACTGAGCTGAGATCCCATTGTACAGTTTTTTGAATGAACATTTTTATCAAGCTTATTAAGGTACTAAATAATATTCTTTGACTCCCAATGTCTATTGTTTTGGTATGTCTGATAGAAGACTTTTAAGCTAAAACCCCAGGTTCTTTTATCTTCCCGAGGCTCTGCATTATCTGTGCATCAGGCATTAGCAGGTGGTGGTGGTTAAAATTAAGAATCTTATGGTCAGGATTCAGTGTTCACAGGCTGTGTGATGTAAACAAGTTAATTTCCTTTTTTTTTAATCTTTTTTTTAACTTGTTTTTATTTTATGTGCACTGGTGTTTTGCCTGTGTCTATGTCTATGTGAGGGTGTCAGATCCCCTGGAACTGGAGTTACAAACAGTCTTAAGCTGCCATGTGGGTGCTGGGAATTGAACCCAGGTCTTCTGGAAGATCGGCCGGTGCTCTTAACTGCTGAGCCATCTCTCCAGCCCCCAAATTAATTTCTTTAAGACATTATTTTCTTGGGCCGGGCGGTGGTGGCGCACGCCTTTAATTCCAGCACTCGGGAGGCAGAGCCAGGCGGATCTCTGTGAGTTCGAGGCCAGCCTGGACTACCAAGTGAGTTCCAGGAAAGGCGCAAAGCTACACAGAGAAACCCTGTCTCGAAAAACCAAAAAAAAAAAAAAAAAAAAAGACATTATTTTCTTAAAAAAAAAATCTAATGTGACTATAAAAATGGTTCTTATCCACATTTCAGAACCCTTACACTTGTTTTTCCTCAGTTTGGGCTTCCACTCTCATCAGGTTCTTGGTATTTTTAAAATCCCTGCCCAGGACATCTGTCTTGATAGGGTTTTCTCCATCTACCATGTAAGATTTTGTCCCTTTTTGTTTCCCTGATTACTTGCGTCAGATCAGCCTGTTGAATGTTCTAACAGTTATCTTGCTTATTTATTTACTTGCTTACATTCCTTTCTCTATTCCTAAGATTAGGGCACTTATGTACACAGTCACCATAGTACCCAGAGTCTTAGAGCAGGGCCTTTGTGGAACATAGTGCCTGGTAAGTGATTTGCTTTGGAGTGAGTGAACAAATGAAGGGACTTACCTGTTTGTTCACTGTGATGCCTGTTGCAAAATGTATACTTCTGTGTGTAGATTATAAAGAGCTGTATTTATGATATAAACACAGTGAGTGTTTGTAACAGTGAATAGACCTAAATGGGTAAATATAAATTTAATGATGTTAATGTTTTACTTCCCACAGGAAGAATTCTTTCATAATCCTCATGCCATCGATATCGAGTCTGAGGATTTCAGCAGCCTGCCACCTGAAGTAAAGCATGAGATCTTGACTGACATGAAGGAGTTTACCAAGCGAAGACGAACACTGTTTGAAGCAATGCCAGAGGTAAAACACCCAGCAGTGCACAGTAGCACACCAATGCTTAGAATTGAACTTCAGCAAAGGGGAAAAAGAGAGATGGTACTTAGAGTCTAAGTCTCCACTTTGGACAGTAGCCCAGTTGCAAGGACACAGAATTTGTATGTGTTACATCCCATAAGGCATAGTTTATTTATTTGTTCATTACAACTCATATATATTCAAAGAAATCTTTTGAACTTTCTGTCCAAGACTAGGCCTTTTCTTCTGTGTGTTCTCAGCACCTTGTAACATGGTATTCTAGTTCTCAGCACAGAGCATGCCTGTCCCGATCATGGCTACACTCTCAAAAGGTACCTCAGTGTCTGACATAGTAAGTGCCCAGCATGCTATGGTTCTTGGGATAGTTCTTAGAAGTTACTTTAAACCACAACGTATTTAAACCACAACCTACATTGCCTTACAAAAGTAACCATAACATGGAAAATACTTCTGATGTGAAATTCCAAATACAGGATTGTGTGTGTTCCTCTCCTTCTTTGTGAATGGTGGGAATAGGGTGGCCTGAGTATGGTGACTTCAAAGTCACAAGAAGCTGAAGCAGGTGTGGTGTGCATGGTTGTGTATTGTTTTGTCCTAATAATGTTGATGTTGATTACTTAGTTTATGCCCCCATCGAGCACTTGCTGTCTTTAGTTCCAGATGTGTGAGTTCCATTTTCCTTCCCTTTGCTACCACATGCTGTTTCCAGTAGTTTTCCTCAAACACTGAGGTGGAATGTAAATTTATAGCAATTGATGTGGTTGTTTTTTTTTTTTTAACTTGCTGTAGACTTTAGAATACTTTTTACTTTGTTACCAGAAAGATTTAAAAAAAAATGGATTTATCTCTTTATTTCTGATTTTTTTTCTTTACTTTTCTTTTCATTTTTTTTTTTTTTTTTTTTTTTTTAAGACAGGTTTCTCTGTGTAGTTTTGGTGCCTGTCCTGGATCTTGCTCTGTAGACCAGGCTGGCCTCAACTCATAGAGATCCACCAGGCTCTGCCTCCCGAGTGCTGGGATTAAAGGTGTGTGCCACCACCACCTGGCTTATTTCTGATTTTCTATGTAGTTAGTGCAGATAAGAAAATAATAAGGCACATAGAAGTGATATTATTAGGTTTTTGGGTACAAGAAATAAATTTATTGGGCTGGGCAGTGGTGGTGCATGCCTTTAATCCCAGAACTTGGGAGGCAGAGGCAGGTGGATCTCAGTGAGTTCAGAGGCCAGCCTGGTCTACAAAGTGAGTTCCAGGACAGCCAAGACTGTTACACAGAGAAACCCTGTCTTGAAAGATAAAAAAAAAAAAAAAAAAGAAATTTTATTTTTATTTCAAAGGGAAAGTAGTCCAAGCTCCATTTATCTTTCAGGCATGTTTTTTTGGGGGGTGGGTGGGAGTGGGTTGTGAGGAATCTCTTGAGTATGAGTGGTAGAAATAAAATTTGAGTGGAATGAGAAGGAAAGGAGACAGCCCTTAGTGGTTTTCTCTTTGCAACTATGGTGTTGCTAGAGCTGGAAGGCTAGGAAGGCTAGGTTGGTTCCATGAGAAGAGAAGTTCCAAGTAGTCCAGGGTGATCTTTGGTATGACTTACCCATTGTGCACATATGGTGTTCATAAGAGAAGATCCATGTCCTAGTTGCAGGGATAATCGTGAGACTAGTAATAGACTCAGTTGTGTAAGCCATCTGTCTGAGGACTCCCATGTGAGTCTGGTGTTGAAGTCTCAAGTCCATCATTTGCAGACTGGAGATAGGAAGATGTTTTATTGGATAAATCAAGGTAGTTTATATAAAAGTGCTTAGAATGCCCTCAATGGGAAAGGCTTTGTACTTGTTAATTATGATTATTAATACCTCTGGTTGCTTTATTCTATGTCATATGTGGACCAAGGACAGTGCTAGACACTTCACCTGTATCTAGAAGGTTGTGTTTTGCTGAATTACCATCACATGTCATACCACAGCCATGTAGTCTAGCTCAGCAAATGATTTTTGAATGAATGATTAAATAATAAAAAGATCCTTCATAATTTCTTTTGCTTAATTCTTTTTGTTTCAAAGATTTTTTTTTAAAGGCTCTTAAAATGCCATGTGTGCTAATCAAAGTACTTGGGAGGCAGAGGCAGGAGTATTTCCACAATTTCAAGGCCAGCTTGGTCCTATATAGTGAGTTCTAGGCTAGCTTGGGCTACTTATTGAGAGACTGTCTCAAAGACAAACAAACAACAACAAAGAAAAACAAAAACGAAAAAGGAAGTTAGCACTGGAACCCCCTCAACCCCTTAGTTTTCAAGTTTTATTTTTATGCTATGAAACTATACCTTTTGGGAATGGGTTGGTGAGCGGTGGTATTATCTGTGTTAGTGTAAAGCAGCAATTTTGTTTATTTTGTCCCTAGGAGTCTAATGATTTTTCACAGTACCAGCTGAAAGGCTTGCTTAAGAAAAACTACCTAAACCAGCACATAGAAAATGTCCAAAAGGAAATGAACCAGCAGCACTCAGGACAAATCCAGAGACAGTACGAAGATGAGGGAGGCTTTCTGAAGGAGGTGGAGTCAAGGAGAGTGGTCTCTGAAGACACCTCACATTACATCTTGATAAAAGGTACCAGGCACTGTCATTAGGATAAGGATGCAGTTTGCTCCTGCCGCCATGCCTTCCCTGCATGGTGGGCTACATTCCTCTGTGCCAGCCAAAGCTGAGATAGAGCGTCTGAGAAGAGAACTGTGCACTTCAGGCTCTTGTTAGGGCTTATGCAGGTAGCCACAGAGGCTGTGTCTTAGGATTCTGATGGCCATCCCATATCTAGAACACAGCATTTTGTAGTGTTTCTTTCCATCTTCAGGCTCCTGCATTCTTTCTGTCCCCACCCTCCCCCATTTTGTGATATTCCCTGGGTGTTGTGTGTGTGTTGTATGAAAGTCTCATTTAGGGCTGAGCATTGACTGTCACCCTCTTCAGGGAGGAGCTTCTCTGGTCCAGGCTGGCAGTGGCACTAGTTTTGAGGTACAAATGTAGGGATTTGGGGAACAGTTGGACTACTTGTTCAATTAGCAAAATAGCAGCAGTACATTCTTCCCTAGGGCTTGTGACCTCTCTAGCCGTGAGTTTTGACTGGGTATACAGTCTCAGACAGTCTTTCCTCCTGTGGAGTGGGCCACAACCAGTTGAGTAGTATGTTGATTGACCCCAGAGTATTCTTGCCACTGCTGCTCTAATGGGTACATCTGGTTTGTCAGGTCAGAAATGTAGCACACTGAGTTCGCCACCAGGAGAGAATTGAAAATTCCTCCCTCCCAGCAGCCTGCTTAGTACCTTTCAGTTCTCTGGAAGCTAGGTAACAGGGAGGAGACTTCCAGCTCACTTCCAGTTTCTTTGTCCTGTGTCCAGGGTGTGTATTGTCATTTGCAATAGGACTTTACCATCTAGTTCTGATGGATAACCAAGAGCAATAGCAATGGCCTGTATTGTTTTGGGAGCTTGGGGCTGTCTGGTCAGAGACTCATGGGGAGTATCTTGCACATGGCAATGAGATTTTGATCAATACCCATGGCTTCTGGGAGCAGTATTGTCAATTTACACAAGGTACTTCCATTCAAACTTTTTTTAAAAATTGTGTTTTTTTTTTTTTTTTTTTTTATTTGTACAGTGGTGCATTTCCATGTGGTTTTTGCATGCATCTTTGGTTTTGGTTGATCCTTCCTATCTACAGCCTTCACCTTTTTTCTATTCTTCCAATTCCTTCCCTAGTTAAACCTTTCTGCCCCTAGTATACCTCCTTTTCATATCATGTGGAGAAACACTAATTTTCAAAAACGAGAGAAAATGAAGTAACATATTGAGCTGCAATCTTGATGTGATAGAGAAAACAGAAGTTGAAATCATAGGATTTAGAAACAGACATGACCTTGATTTCCAGTTCTGATACTTAATTTGAACAAGTGGTCTAACCTCTGAGTCTTCACTTTCATGCCAGGCGCTTTGTCTCTCTGATACGGGTTTGTTGTGTCAGGTCTTGTTTGTAAAGTGTCCAGTATGTGTTGGCTTCTGTTATTTATAAATTTATTGTACACATTAACTACGTAAGGTAGAGTTTTGCTCCCACAGATAGTAGAGTGTCTCTAACATTTCCTCGAACCTTTGACCATTTTTCTTTGTGATGGGTGCAAATGTAAAATCTACTTTATTTTAAAAAGATGTGAGAAGAAATATGTTATATCAAAGTAATTTTAAAATTGAAGTTAGCATTAAAAATATACAACAAGGAGCAATTAAGATCTCATCTTGCTTTTCCAGAGGTGCTGGGTTCCACGTCACCCACACAAGTGGCTCACAAGTGCCTGTAACTCCAACTCCAAGGGATCCAGCATTCTCTTCTGGCTTCCCCAGGCACCCACACACATAGGGCATTCATTTACACAAACACAAACACACACACATACACACTAAAACAAACAAACAATAAAGTCACAGCCTATAAAGCTATGTTTGAATCAGAAGGCCATCTCACACTGCCTCATTACTCCACACCATTAGTACTCTCAGCAACTCTATCAAATATATTTCTATTTTCTTTATTATTGTTTTTCCTAAGGGAGTATTGGAGTTTTTTCATTTCAGATTTTATGATAAAGAACTTAGTTTCAAATTTATTTTTGAATTTGCTAGTAATTAAAATAATAGGGAGAAAGATCATTTTATAAATTTAAATTCACATGTGTGAGCACTAACACCAGGATTTAATTTCTTTTTTTCTATAGAAACAAATATGAAATAATCTAAAATGGAATTATGTTTTAAAAGTACTTGTTTTGATTTTGGCTGTGTAGTATGACAAAATTTTAAATTACAAAATAGAACCTAGGGTACTTTGTGGCTCTGAGTTCTGGGAAAAGATATCTATGATAAGTAGAATTTTGGTTAGGTAGTAACGGTTATATTTAGTCACTAATAGATTAGCTGCTACAGAACCAACCACTTTATACTTAGTGAATGGATTTAATAAAAATGTATCATTATATTTATGATCTCAGATTCTCTTGTTCATCTTCCCAGAAATACAGTTGTCACACTGTGAATTGCATGGTGAGAAATGTTTTAATTTCTCTCAGGTATTCAAACTAAGAAAGTCATGGATGTGGATTCAGAGGCTTCTCCTTCTTCCAGCAAAAGGCACAGCATGTCCTTCGACCTGAAGTTGTCACCCCATGAGAAAGTGAAGCCAGAGAAAGAACCAGAGGCCGCACCTCCTTCTCCAAGAACCTTACTGGCTATGCAGGCAGCCATGCTGGGAAGTAGCTCAGAAGAGGAGCCAGAGAGGGAGAGGGATTCATGGGCCACTGCAGATGCAGGCTCCGTATCACCACAGACCCTTGCAGCTATTCAGAGAGCTCTGGATGATGATGAAGATGGGAAAGTGTGTGAGGGGGATGATGAGCCAACAGGAAGGGCAGTGGTGAAAGTGTTGGGTGGTGGTAAAGGTGGGGAAGTTTGTGCTGGGAGTGATGAGCTGGCAGTGAGAACTCAGGTTGGAAATAGGCCAAACCAGGAGCACAGTGATGGAGCTGTAGCGAGAGGTGGAGGCGTGCCATTTGTCACAGTTCCTGCTTTACCCACCGTGACTGTAGTAAAGGAGTATGTGGTCAGCTCCAATAGTGAAAAAGAACAGATAGCCTCGGCTCAGTCATTGAATACTGCTTGTCACGAAGCTGGTGAATGTTATGCTCCAAAAGAACAGATGCCACTTACTCATGTGGTGAATGAAGCATCTCAGATAAGCAGTGAGTATGAGGTTGAGGGGAAGCAAGCTCCCCTTCCACCAGCATGCACAGAACAACTGTGCAGTGATGCCTCCGGACTCCTCAGGGAACCTCCAATAAGAACACATTCCGATCAGAGGATGGACACACACCCTGAAGAGCCCGAGCTGCAGAAAGGTCTCTACCCACCTGAGAGTAAATGTGTTTCCTCTCGTTTTTCAAGTGATGATGAAACAGAAAGTGTACAAAATACTGCTTCTAAAGCATGGGGCACAGTTCACATCCCTTCAGAGGCAATGGATAACTTAGAAAAGGCATTGTCTTCTAATGCTGATGAACATAGAGATTCCCTGAAAACCATCCAGCAACGGGAGATGCCTGAAGCCACTGCCAGGGAATTGATTTTAGTCCCAAAGCCCATGGAACCAAAGAAGATGGAGTCTGGAGAAAGCGAGTCTGATGGTAGGTACTTCTTTAAGGGAATGGAATGGGAGACTTGATGTCTATAGGGACTAGGAGAACCTGTAGTATAACCCTGTTTACAGCAGAGGAACCAGGAAGAAAAGAGAAATGAGCTTCCTAGCGTCACACAGCCCTGCTTTACTGGGCTGTTTTTGGTATCTTTAAGATTTCATTTTATTTTATATGTATGGGTGTTTTGTCTGCATGTCTGTGCACATATGCATGCAGTGTCCATACAGAAGGGGGCAGCAGATCTTCTGCAACTGGAGTTATAAGTGGTTTTTTGCATTGCCCTGGGCACTGGGAACTTAATGCAGGGCCTCTGCAAGAGCAGCAAATGTTGTTAACTGCTGAGCCTTCTTGGCAGCCTCTGTCCTTGGTATCATTGAAGGAAGGGAGTGCCGTGCCTGGAGAAAAGAAACATGAATTTCCTTTAACTTTTGTTAACTTCTTACTTTGACATACAAAAATTACAAGATTGGAAAGCTATCATAGAGTACTGACTGATTCACACTTAACCTTAGAGGCCAGTATTTTGTCTCATTTGTTTTATATTCTCTGACTCTGTCTCCGTCTCTCTTTATCCCTGCCCCTTCTGCCTCTTCCTCTCCTTCACCTCTTCCTCTTCATGTCTCCCTCTCTCTCTCTTTCCCATGCATTCTCTCCATGTACACCTCTCCTCTCTCTCTCTGTATTTTTGTATACACATATGCTAATGATACTCATTGTTTATAGCTTTTTTGTGCAGTCACCTGCTTGTTAAAATTTGACTCCAGAATCAAAGGTACTTTGGTTTCTTTATGGGCATTTGTCAGGGAGATGTTCTGCCTGTTTTCATTGTGCCCACAGAGATAATCAGGGACTATTGGCAGGGTAGTGGAGTCTAGATTGGCAGGGTAGTGGAGTCTAGAGCAGGATTTTCAGCTAGGGAGTCTCCCCATTCTGGCACCCTGGTAGTAGGGTACCCTCAGGCAAGTCACATAACACTCTAAATTTTATTTCTTACATAATGAAAGAATGTATGTACATACATACACATTTGTGCATATATATATGTGTGTGTGTGTGTGTGTGTGTGTGTGTGTGTGTGTGTGTATGAAGCATGTATTTGCTAATTTAGTATTTGAAATGACTTTATAAACCACACTTCAAGTAATGAAGATAACTGCATGCGTATATGTTTACACATAATTTGTGTCCTGTTACTGGTCAGATTTCTGTTATTTATTTGTTTATTTATTTGAGATTCATATAACCTAGGCTGGCCATATACTTTTTATGGAGCTGAGGCTTGTCTTGAACTTCTGACCCTCTTGCCTCTACCACCTGAGTGCTGGGGTCACTGTAAGTGAGCCATCCCAATTAAATGTTTCCTTTGTAAGAGTTGCCGTGGTCATAGTGTCTCTTCACAGCAATAAAAATCTTAACTAAGACAGATATGGTGGTGTGGGGCGTTTACCCACCAACCCCACAGCTCCCCAGAGTTTTCTTGAGTGTGAGCAGCAGGAAATATTAGATGGAAGGATTTATATTACGGAGAATATTGCGGAGATAAACAGATAGAAAATAAAGGATAGCCTCGAGAGGGCCTGGAACCTATTCCAACGGGCCCCGACTGTCTCTGCCCTAGGGTATTTATAGACGCCAAGGGGTGGAGCAAAAGACCTCTTCCCCCAGCACAGCCAAGTGCAGACCATCTTAGACACCTGCACTCAGGCCCGTGGTCCTAATCATCCTCTATGCGGACATGCTGGGTAAAGCCACGAGGAACCCGAAAACGGGCTCCCACATGGTTGGTTACAAGCTTATGGAGGCCAGGAGTGGAATGTGATAGTTTGAATGTAATTGGCCCCAATAAGCTCATAGGGAGTGGCACTATATAGAGGTCCACCTTGTTGAAGTAGGTGTAGAGTTGTTGGAGGAAGTGTATTACTGTGGGGTAGGCTTTGAGGTCTCCTATGCTCAAGTTACACCTCGTTTGGTTTACTTCCTGTTGCCTGCAGATCAAGATGTAGGACTTTCAGCTTCTTCTCCAGTACCATGTCTGTCTACATACTGCCATTTCTTGCCATGATGATAATCGACTAAATCTCAGAACTGTAAGCCACACCAATTAAATGTTTTTCTTTATAAGAGTTGCTATGGTCATGGTGTCTCTTCAGAGCAATAGAAATCCTAAGTAAGACAGTCACATTTATTAATTATTGATCTTACTGCCTGTACTATGAGTGTTCTGTTCAGAAAGTTGACTCCTGTGCCAATGCGTTCAAGTCTATTCACCACTTTTTCTATCATGTTTGGTGTATCTGGTTTTATGTTAAAGCCTTTGATCCATTTGGACTTGAGTTTTGTGCTAGGTGATTACTATGAATCTATTTGTATTCTTCTTCGTGTAGACATCCAGTTTGACCAGAATCACTTGTTGAAGGTGCTTTCTTTTTTCTAGTATGTATTTCTGGCTGTTTATCAAAAATCAGGTGTCTATAGGTTTGTGGATTTATGCCTGGGTCTTCAATTTGTATCCATTGATCAATGTGTTTGTTTTTATGCCCATAACATGTGGTTTTTATTACTACAGCTCTGTAGTACAACTTGAAATCCAGGATGGTGAGACCTCCCACAGTACTTTTATTGTTCATAATAGTTTTTGCTTCCTGGGTATCTTAGTTAGGGTTTCTATTGCTGTGAAGAGACACCATGACCATGGCAAATGTTATAAGGGAAAACATTTAATTGGGATAGTCAGAGGTTCAGCCCATTATCATCATGGTAAGACATGGTAGTGTGTAGGCAGACAGGTTGTTGGAGAAGTAGCTGAGAGTTCTACATCTTTCAGGTGACAGGAAGTGGTCTAAGACACTGGGCGGTATATTGAGCATATATGAGACCTCCAAGACCACTTCCACAGTGACGTACTTCCTCCCACAAGACCATAACTACAAGGCCACACCTCCTAATAGTGCCTCTCCCTTTGGGGGCCACTTCCTTTCAAACCACCACACTAGGTTTGTGTGTGTGTGTGTGTGTGTGTGTGTGTGTGTGTTTCTATAAGAAGCTGAAAATTGTCCATCCAAGATCTGTGAAAAATTGTGTTGGAATTTTGAATAGGATTGCATTGAATCTATAGGTTGCTTTTGGTAGGACGGCATCTCCTTGTATCTTCAGTTTCTTTCTTCAAAGACGACGTTTTATCTTACAAGTCTTCCACTTGCCTGGTTAGAGTTACCCCAAGATATTTTAAATTTTTAAGGCTATTGTGGAAGGTGTTGTTTCCATGATTTCTTTCTCAGTCTATTTGTCATTTGTATATAGGAGGGCTACTTTTTTAAAAGTTAATCCTGTATCCAGCCATTTTGCTGAAAACTGTGTATCAGCTGTATGATTTCCCAGGTTGTGGGGCGTTTACCCACCAACCCCACAGCTCCCCAGAGTTTTCTTGAGTGCAAGCTACAGGAAATATTAGATAGAAGGATTTATATTGCAGAGATAAACAGAAAATAAAGGATAGCCTTGAGAGGGCCTGGAACCTTTTCCAACAGCCCCGACTGTCTCTGCCCCAGGATATTTATAGAGATGACAAGGGATGGAGCAAATGACCTCCTCCCCCAGCACAGCCAAGTGCAGACCATCTCAGACACCTGCACTCAGGCCCGTGGTCCTAATTATCCTCTCTATGTGGACCTGCTGGGTAAAGCCACGAGGAACCTAAAAATGGGCTCCCACACCAGGTGGAATTTTTATGATCATGTATATATACTATGGTATCATCTGCAACTGAAGGTACTTTGACTTCTTTCTTTCCAATTTGTATCCTATTGATTTCCTTCAGTTGTCTTATTATACTAGGTAAGACTTCAAGTACTATATTGAATAGGCCTGGAGAGAGTGGACAGCCCTGTCTTGTTCCTGATTTTAGTGGAATTGCTTTGAGTTTCTCTCTGATTAATTTGGTGTTGGCTATAGGTAAGCTGTAAACTGCCTTTATTATGTTTAGATATGTTCCTTGTATCCCTGATCTCTCCAATACTATTAATCATGAAGGTGTTGGATTTTGTCAAAGGTGTTTTCTGCATCTAATGAGATGATCATATGATTTTTTTCTTTAAAGTTTGTTTATATGAGGGACTACATTTACTGATGTTCATGTATTGAATAATTCCTGCATTTCTAGGATAAAATGTACCTGATTATGGTAGATGATCTTTTTGATGTGTTTTTGGATTTGGTTTGCAAGTATTTTTATAGTAAGATTTTTCTTTGGACTGCCAACTCACAAATAGCGACACTGAAACTTCTTATTAATTATAAAAGCATGGCTTTTAGCTTGGATTTGTTTTCAACTAGCTCTTTTAACTTAACCCGTATTTTTATTAATCTGCATTCTACCACGTGGCTTTTACCTCTATCACATTCTGTGTGCCTATCTGCTTCTCTGGCTTCCTTTCTAGATTTTAAAAAGATTAATTGACAGGACATAATTTTAAAAAGCTAATAGGCAAATCTTTGAGAATTTGGTTCCCACTTTCAGTGACCAAAAGCCTAGTAGTTCAGTTTGTCTAATTGAAAGGCTTGTTTGGAAGTGCTAGGTGGGCATTTGTAATGTATTGTGTTTAAGAATAACAAGTTAGGGGCTGGAGAGATGGCTCAGAGGTTAAGAGCACTGGCTGCTCTTCTAGAGGTCCTGAGTTCAAATCCCAGCAACCACATGGTGGTTCACAACCATCTATAATAAGATCTGGTGCCCTCTTCTGGTGGGCAGGGATACATGCAGACAGAACACTGTATACAAAATAAATAAATCTAAAAAAAAAAAAAAATAACAAGTTAATTGCATGTTTGAGGTTATAGTCAAATCCTTTCCTTTGGGGTCTGACATTTTTCAGGACTGTTCAGAAAGTTTTGATCACTTCAGAGTGCTTCTAATATTCTCAATGTAGATGAAGTGACATCATTATATTTTGGACAGGAAGTTTCATTGAGGTACAGAGTATGGTCAGTGATGGTGAACTTCAAGCAGAGTCATTGGAGCCTTCTAAACCTCCCTCTGAACAAGATGAAGAGGAACCCAGAGGAACTCTGGAGGAAGGAATCCCCAGGGACACAGAACACCTCCTACAGGACAGCTCTGACAGTGAGGACTTGGTCAAGGAAGAGCACAAAAAAACTGACGGATATGCTGAGGACTCACCTAATGAATGGCAAGATGTTGATTTGGTAATAATACAATGTTTTAACTTAGTGCCAAGGAAATCCTGTGGCTTTGAGATTTTTTTTTTTTTTTTTTTTTTTTTGGTTTTTCGAGACAGGGTTTCTCTGTGTAGCTTTGCGCCTTTCCTGGATCTCGCTTTGTAGACCAGGCTGGCCTTGAACTCACAAAGATCCACCTGCCTCTGCCTCCCGAGTGCTGGGATTAAAGGCGTGCGCCACCACCGCCCGGCAGCTTTGAGATTTTAAGAGTTGCTGGATAAATATTTATTAGCTGTTTTTAATTCATCTTCTTGTTACTCATGGTTCCCTTTTGAAATGTAAGTTACATCTGGGGTAGATAGGTTTCTAATATGATGTAATCAAGTGACTGAAAGAGACAGCCTTGCCTGGAAATCTCAAGAGGAAAACACTGTAAGGAGAAACAACTTATTCGTCGTTTCAACCTAAGGAGATGCTGGCTTTTTATTTTTATTTTTATTTTTTTGTAACAAATGAACATAATTGGATCATGACTGTAATGAATGGGAACATGTTTTATAGGAGGAACTAGACATCCTAGAGAGTAACCTCTTAGCAGAACAGAATTCACTGGAAGCTCAAAAACAGCAGCAAGAACGGATCGCTGTCTCTGTAACGGGCCAGATGTTTCTGGAAAGTCAGGTGAGTTTGACTTTATCTTGGGCTTCTGTAGAATTGTCCTTCCTGTAAGAAGGGCTGTATGATATTGTCACACCCCTTGTGGTCAAGGTCATCAGTGCATTTCCTTGCGGGTGGTTTCTCTTAACTACAGGAACTCCTGCGCCTGTTTGGCATTCCCTATATCCAGGCTCCCATGGAGGCAGAGGCGCAGTGTGCCATCCTGGACCTCACTGATCAGACTTCTGGGACCATCACTGATGATAGTGATATCTGGCTGTTTGGGGCCCGGCATGTCTATAAGAATTTTTTTAACAAAAACAAGTTTGTAGAGTACTACCAATATGTGGACTTTCACAACCAATTAGGTAAGACTCAGATTGTGGTCACTTCCCATAGTTCACCCTCCTGATTTGCCTCGTGGTTTTTCTTCAGAAGGATCTAATTTGATGCATGAATGGAAATGGGAGGTCATAGGATTTTAAAACTTGGATTTAAGAAGATAAAACCCTAGTGTTTTTCTTGCAGTTAAGTCATCTACAAGGTTAGTTGAGTTACCTTACAGTGAACCATAGATGCTCTCATAGGGTAGGGAATGGAGCCATTGGTGCTCCTGATGTTGACTACACATTCATCCATCTGTTCAGCTGGGAAATGCACACTGAGTGACTCTCATATGCTAGTCATTCTTGACAGTGGGAAAATAGCAGAGAATGAAACAATCTAGTGGAAGGAAAAGATGCTGGCTATGTTTACAAGTTATAATGTAATACTTGGTGTGCACCATGGGGGAAAATTAAAACAAGCAGAACAAGAATGAGGACCAGCTGTAGGAGAGCACATGATGTTCCTCACAGAGGTGTCCTCAGGGAAGGCTTTGTTTGTGGCAGCATAGGGCAGACTCCCTAAGAAAATAGTAAGCAAAGCTATAAATAAATACTCAACAAAGATCATGTCAGAGGGATTTAAAGATTTTCAAGGCTTCGAGGCAGAAGATTGCTTATGTACATGTTCTAGAGAAATAAGGAGGCCAGTGACAATGGGGGAGGAGGGTGATGTCATAGTTACACCGGAGAGAAGAAATTGAAGCCTCATAGTGTCTGATACACCAGAGAAAACAGTGCTCGTGTCCTGGATGTGGGATATGGGAGGAGGGCTTCTAGCTTCCCGGTTCTGGGCCAGTGGTAGAACGTAGCAGAGGAAGAGAGAATTGAGTTGGGATAAGTTCAGTCTGAGAGGCTCATTAGATCTACAGACAGTTGGTAAGGGAATGCATGTACCTGTGGTCAGAAGGAGCAGATTAGATAGCTAAATGTAGAGGTCAGCATGTATAGAGAATTTAAAATGAGAATGGAGCCTGGCGGTGGTGGTGCACGCCTTTAATCTCAGCACTCAGGAGGCAGAGACAGGTGGATCTCTGTGAGTTCAAGGCCAGCCTGGTCTACAAAGTGAGTTCCAGGATAGGCTCCAAAGCTACAGAGAAACCCTGTCTCGAAAAACTGGGAAAAAAAAAAGTTAAAACTTAAAATCTCAATATAATGACACTTAACAAAAGAACCTATTTTTAAATGAAACATGTTTCTTTGGATGTTGGTTTATCATACACAGTTTATATAATAAAAATACTTATGTTATATAACTTTTATAAAAATATTAAATCTAATTGTTGCTTTTCATACAGGATTGGACCGGAACAAATTAATCAACTTGGCTTATCTACTGGGCAGTGATTATACTGAAGGGATCCCAACTGTTGGCTGTGTAACAGCCATGGAGATTCTCAATGAATTCCCTGGACGAGGCCTGGACCCACTCCTAAAATTCTCGTAAGGCTTTTTCTTCATGCCTTTAATTCAGGTATTTACATAAATACTCGGATTAAAAGAAAAAAAATTTTTTTTTTAAAATACACTGAGCTCTTACTGTATTGCCTAGGCTGAGCTCAAACTTGCACTCCTCCAGCCTCAGCTTCTACATAGTTGCTACTGTTGGTGTGTGCCACCACACCAGAGGATCTGTTTCTAAAATCATGATGTCCCAAGCCACTGTTCATTGAAGGAACAGTGGGAAACAGCGGCTGTGGTTTCTAGGGCCCTTGTGAGTCTGTTTCTTGTAGGTAGAGTTTTCCTGCCTGGCCCACAGTCAGGACAAATGTCTCTCACCTGCCAGTCCCACAGCCTTTCAAACCCAACCAAGTAAACACAGAGACTTATTTTGCTTACAAACTGTATGGCCGTGGCAGGCTTCTTGCTAACTGTTCTTACAGCTTAAATTAACCCATTTCTATTAATCTATACCTTGCCACATGGCTCGTGGCTTACCAGCATCTTCACATGCTGTTTCTCATCGTGGTGGCTGGCAGTGTGTCTCTCTGACTCAGCCTTCCACTTCCCAGCTTTATTCTCCTCCTTGTCCCGCCTACACTTCCTGCCTAGCCAATGGCCAATCAGTGTTTTATTTATTGACTAATTAGCAACACATTTGCCATACAGAACATCCCACAGCACTTCCCCCTTTTTTTTTCAAAAAGGAAGGTTTTAACCTTAACAAAGTAAAATTACATATAATTTGGGAATTTGGGTGTAGCTTCTCTTACTACTTCCTGCTGGAGGGGGGCGCTGTATCTTATGGGGAAACAAAGAAAATTTTAGGATTATGGAATAGTCCATGAGGCTGTATCGTCTGAGCCAGTTGCCTTCAAATCGTTCTGGATGTTGGATCATCTGGGCCATGGTGTCATCGGAGATCTTTCAGGGGGTCTTGGCTGGTGAAACGTGATGTATCTTAATCTTGAACAAATCCATAGCCTCTGGCTTTCTGTGGAAACAAAAGCAGAGTCTCCTTTCCAAAGCAACATATCCTTATATCCAAAATTTGAAGTCATGGTATCTTTAAAATATACATTTTGGCATAACTCAACAGCTTTTACAATCAAATGTTTTTCTGCAGTTAAAAATCCCAAAGACAACACAATCCAGATTCTCTGTGTAATACTCATCTTTATGTGGCTTATTTTTTATACTACCTTTACTGTCTCTTTAAAGACTTTATTTTTTAAAACTATGTATTTGTTTCTATAACTCTATATATCACCTTTTTTGTCTCTTTCAAGCCTACGTATCTTTTACACACATTGTAAACTATTACATCTGAATCTGTCTTATTGTGAATCTATTGCCTTAAACTGCAGCAGCTGTGGGTGCTGGCTCCGTCCACCTCAGCTTCCCAACATGGCTACGTTTACCACCAGCTCTGGGAGCTATCATGGGTCTATGCTTTTATCCAAGCAGCGTGTAGTCCAGAAACCTCTTTTTTTGTTTTGTACCTGCAAAGGCTAAATCCACCATGCAGCTTAATGTGCCACTTGCAGAGGTCTCATTCCCGACAAACTGCAGGTCGAGCGTGCACGCTAGGAACCCACAAGTAGCTCAAACCAGCAGCTGCCGCTCATTTGAGAGAGACAATTAGGAACTGTTTTTAGCTCCGTTTTAGAATCTTTTTTCTCAGTTTTTAGGTGGAAACTCTTGCCACCACGTTGGACGCCATTTGTAGGTAGAGTTTTCCTGCCTGGCCCACAGTCAGGACAAATGTCTCTCACCTGCCAGTCCCACAGCCTTTCAAACCCAACCAAGTAAACACAGAGACTTATTTTGCTTACAAACTGTATGGCCGTGGCAGGCTTCTTGCTAACTGTTCTTACAGCTTAAATTAACCCATTTCTATTAATCTATACCTTGCCACATGGCTCGTGGCTTACCAGCATCTTCACATGCTGTTTCTCATCGTGGTGGCTGGCAGTGTGTCTCTCTGACTCAGCCTTCCACTTCCCAGCTTTATTCTCCTCCTTGTCCCGCCTACACTTCCTGCCTAGCCAATGGCCAATCAGTGTTTTATTTATTGACTAATTAGCAACACATTTGCCATACAGAACATCCCACAGCAGTTTCTTCTTAGGTTCAATTCTCAGTACCTACATGGTGGCAAATAACTATCTGTAAATCCAGTCCCAGGGTATCTGACACCCTCTTCTGGCCTCTGAGGCACTGTACGCTTGTGATAGACTTACATGTAGACAAAACACCCATACACATAAAAATAAATAAACCTTTATAATAAACACAATTTTTAAAACTACTTTCAGAGACACAGCTCCTACCAATCTTTGGGATTGGGAGTCTCTGATAATATTGACTGCAAAATGGACAGTATCTAGATTTACTATAGAGACAAACCTCTGGACATGTCTGTGACAGAGTTTTTAGGCTGAATTAATTTAGGTATGAAGTCTGTCCTCCTAAATATGAGCAGCAGTCATCTCATTGCCCTTACATGTCTTGCAACCATGATACCGTTATAGTTTTAAGGGTTTGTTCCTGGGTTGGTATTTACATTTATCTTTTAGTAGCATGCAGAGTACCTTCCTTTATAGAAGACAACAGCATTAGGGGTAAAGGTCATGAAGGCTTCTCCATGTTCAATGAGTTGTGTAGGTGTTGTCTTCAGCAATGGGTTTTTGCTGTCAGTCTGTGGAGAACTATCTATAGTCTTGACGACATCTGGGTTGTTTGGGGTTCCCATGGTAACCAACAACTGAACTAGATGTAACCCATCCTAGAACTGAAAGTTTCAATTGATGACAAGAGATGTCTGTTTGGGGCTCTTTCTCTTTCATTATTTGGCAATTTTATTTAGATCGCTTTCATATACGTATATATTTTAGGAAGTTTCTACTGTAGAAACTTCAAATGACTCTTAAATTTAGCTGTCTCTCCCCATATTTCCTCCATCATCTGCCTCTCTCTTCCTTCTCCGCACTTGATTGTCCTGTCCCAGCTAAACCTCCATCTATAACTACCTATTCTATTTCCCTTTCCTGGAGAGATATGTCTATTCCCCCTTTGTACCTTATTCTATACCTCATTTCTGTGATTTTATGGATTATAGTTTGGTTACCATTGACAACAGCTAATATTCACATATCAGTGAATACATAACTGTATTTGTCCTTCTGGGTTTGCATTACCTCATTCAGAATGATTTTTTCTAGTTCCATTCATTTACCTGCAAATTTCATAATTCCATTTTTTTAATGGCAGTGTAATACTCCATTGTGTAAATGTACCACATTTTCTTTATGTATGTACTCTTCTGTTGAGGGACATATAGGTTATTTCCAGTTTCTGGCTATTATGAATAGAACAGCAGAGAACATGGTTGAGCAAGTATTCTTGTGGTAGGACCTTTGGGTATATACCCAAAAGTGTTATAACTAGATCTTGAGGTAAATCAGTTCCTGTAGTTGGAATGTTTCTCTGGTCCTGCCTAGCCCTGCAGTCCTGCAGCTGCTTATAAAATAATCACTCAGAAGCTTATATTAATTATAACTGCTTGGCCATTAGCTCAGGCTTATTACTGACTAGCTCTTACACTTAAATTAATCCATAATTCTTATCTAAGTTTAGCCATGTGGCTTGGTACCTTTTCTTAGTTCTGCTTTGTCATCTTGCTTCCTCTGTGTCTGGCTAGTGACTCCTGAATCAGCCTTCTTCTTCCTAGCATTCCTTTAGTCTGCCCTCCCCACCTATCCTTCCTGCCTGACTACTGGCCAATCTGTGTACAAAAACATTATCCCATAGCATTTCCCCTTTTCTGTCTAAACAAAAAGGAAGGTTTTAACTTTAATATAGTAAAATTACGTATAATAGAACAGTTATCAAGCAAGAATTACAGTTACAATATCTAGTCTATTTTTATTTGGCAAAATTAAAGAAAATATTCTATCTGTCTTATATTTTTGAGTCTAAAGTTTCATTTCTAATTTATCTTTTATCATAACTAAGCAAAATTATATCTAGTCTTCAGCTACATCAAAGGCCCCAGAAGGAATGTGGTGATGAATTTTGTCCCCCAATATACTGTGTTTCCTAATAAAATTTCCCTGGAGATCAGAGGAAAAAGCCAGCCACTATATAGAAGTCAGGCAATAGTAGCACACGCCTTAAGTCCTATCACTTGGCAGGCAGGGATCTGTCTGGATCTCTCAGTTCAAGGCCACACTGGGGGACAGAGCCAGGTATGGTGACACATGCCTTTAATCCCAGCACCAACCATAGAGGTCTAGAGGTCTATACAGACAGATAGGAAGTGACAGAGCTGGGCAGGAAAAGGAAGTGATATAGCTGGGCTGAGAGAGCAAATGAGAGAACAGAACAGAAAGGCATATAGGTGTAGGTAGACAAGAAGTAGCTCGCCTTTGGTAGCTGCAGAGTTGGTGAGCTGAGGTTAGCTGTGGCTTTCCCTGTTTCCCTGATCTCTCAGGTTTTCACCCCTATATCTGGCTCCGAGGTTTTTTTTTTTTTTAATAAGACTATTTAGCAATTTGTCTGCAAGTTCCCATCTTTCTGATGAGCCACTGCCTTGATTACCACCATTATGTCAGTACAAATTTGTACTCACAACAGCAATAGATGAGTGTTCCCTTATTCTACATCCTTGCCAGCATAAGCTGTCATTTTTGTTTTTGATCTTAGGCATCCTGACAGGTGTAAGATGAACTCTCAAAGTAGTTTTGATTTGCATTTCCCAGTACCTACCTACATCAGTTGGCCTCTGGGGGCACCTCAACATATGTAACAGACATATACATACTCAAAAAAATCTTGGAAAGAAAGCATTATTTTTCCCTTGCATTTTGGTATTGATGAAGACTACTGTTAGGCTTCTGAACTCCAGAAGGCATTCCCAAGTCACTCACTGAGGTGGACTGCAGGTTGGAACCCAGTTCCTGGTACTAGTTATATGTGAAGAAGTAGAACTGAAGGGTAGG